AGGGCAGCAGGAGGAGGAATCCAGAGGCTATCAACTTGCTCTGCCATCATGGTGTTTTGAGTTGAAGTGCTCTGACACTGTGTGTGGGCGGAGCCGCAGCTGGAGACTCTGGAGTCCGGATCAGCAGGGAGTAGTGAGCAGGAGAAGGAGCAGGGTGAGTGCTTGCTAATATTGGGTTTTTTTTGTGTGTGTGCAGGGGTCTTGTAGGGGAGGAGGTGGGAACAGGGGTCTGTAGAAGGGGGTGGACAGGGGTTTGTAGAGGGGGGTGGTCAGGGGTCTCTAGAGGGGGACGGGCAGGGGTCTGTAGAAAGGGGGTAGGCATGGGTTTTTGTGAATGTGGGGAACAGGGAGTTTGTAGGGAGGTGCAGGTGGTTTGAGGGGGGGCAGGGTTCTGGTAGAGGAGGTGTGCAGGGATATGTAGAGGGAGTGAGCAGGGGCCTGTTGAGGGGGTGAGCAGGGGTCTGTAGAGGGAGTGAGCAGGTGTCTGTAGAGGGGGATTGAGCAGGAGTCTGTAGAATGGGGTGGGCAGAGTGAGGGTGAGTGAGGGATGCAGGAGGTTTGTAGGGGGGGGACAGGTCTCTTGTAGAGGGCGTGAGCAGTTTTTTTTTATAGGGAGAGGGGGGCAGGGTTTTTGTGAATGGGGGTGCAGGGTGTTTGTAGGGGGCAGTGCCAAACACAGGATCCACCCTGGGTGCCAAATGCTTTAGGCACATCCCTGATTTTGTCTGTGTGTGTGTGTGTCTGTGTGTGTGGACTCAGCAGTCTGTGTGTGTGTATGGACTCAGCAGTCTGTGTGTGTGTATCGACTCAGCAGTCTGTGTGTATGTGTGTGTGGACTCAGCAGTCTGTGTGTGTGTGTGTATGGACTCAGCAGTCTGTGTGTGTATGTGGACTTAGCAGTCTGTGTGTGTGTGTGTGTGTGTGTGTATGGACTCAGCAGTCTATGTGTGTGTGTGTGTATGGACTCACCAGTCTGTATGTGTGTATGGACTCAGCAGTCTGTGTGTGTGTATGGACTCAGCAGTTTGTATGTGTGTCTGTGTGTGTGTGTATGGACTCAGCAGTCTGTGTCTGTGTGTATGGACTTAGCAGTCTGTGTTTGTGTGTGTGTATGGACTCAGCAGTCTGTGTATGGACTCAGCAATCTGTGTGTGTGTCTGTGTGTATGGACTCAGCAGTCTGTGTGTGTGTGTGTGGACTCAGCAGTCTGTGTGTGTGTGTATGAACTCAGCAGTCTGTGGGTGTGTGTATGGACTCAGCAGTCTGTGTGTGTATGGACTTAGCAGTCTGTGTGTGTGCATGGACTTAGCAGTCTGTGTGTGTGCATGGACTCAGCAGTCTGTGTGTGTGTGTGTAGGAACTCAGCAGCCTGTGGGTGTGTGTATGGACTCAGCAGTCTGTGTGTGTGTATGGACTCAGCAGTCTGTGTGTATGGACTCAGCAGTCTGTGTGTATGGACTCAGCAGTCTGTGTGTGTGCATGGACTCAGCAGTCTGTGGGTGTGTATGGACTCAGCAGTCTGTGTGTGTGTATGGACTCAGCAGTTTGTGTGTGTGTATATATATATATATGGACTATGGATACAGTGCCAACTATGGCACTGTATCAAGGCGAAATGTGTTTGTTTTTTAATAATCCCTGGTGGAAAATAAGAATCCGGTAGGGGCGGGGTCAAACTGCGGTAGGGGCGGGGTCAAACTGCGGCAAGGGCGGGGTTAAATGTGCCCCCCTACTTTTTTCCCTGGCCCACCATGTGCCCCCCTGAAAATGAATCCTAGAGACGCCACTGCCCTTATCTACGGTCCTTGCGAGGACCCCACAATCACATGGCCGGGATAGCTGGCTTCTGTATTGCCAGCAGGGGGGCTGCCTGTAATGACAGGTGGTCCCCCTGCTGGCTGGAAATAAAATTAAAATAAATTAAAAAGTGTAAAAAAAATATATATATTCTTAGATCTAAGTATATAGTTACATAGTTACATAGTTACATAGCTGAAAAGAGACTTGCGTCCATCAAGTTCAGCCTTCCTCACATTTGTTTTTTGCTGTTGATCCAAAAGATATATATACACATATACACACACACACACATACACTGTCTAGGTGTATTTTACTATTAATATATATATATAATAATATATATATTAATATCAAATTGCATGTAGACTGATACTGATTAAATATATATATAATTATTGTTATATATATTTATATATAATATAAAAAATTAAATATGTAAATACGTTAAAAAATAAAATTAAAAACATTATTAAAAAAATAATTAAAAAATATATAGATGTGTATTATTTTGTTGTAACTGTATTGTGATATTAATATATTATATATTTATATCAAAATACATGTAGAACGAAATAATAAATATATCTACATACATAAATATATACGTATATATCACTATATATATATACCTATATATAAATAAAAATATTTAAAAAAAATTATATATATATACACATATAGATTCACATACATATATATATACATATATTAATTCTACATATATATTTACGTAATATTTTTACATAATTAGGTATCTTAATTAATTACAATTAGCGGGACCTGCCTGACAACCCATGCCGAAAGTAAAGGGAATTTAATTTGCTAGCATTATATTTAACCCTATAACTTTCCAAGACACCATAAAACCTGTACATGGGGGGTACTGTTCTACTCGGGAGACTTCGCTGAACACAAATATTAGTGTTTCAAAACAGTAAAATGTATTACAACGATGATATCGCCAGTAAAAGTGATGTTTTTTGCATTTTTCATGCACAAACAGCACTTACACGGACGATATTATTGCTGTGATACTTTTTGCTGTTTTGAAACACAAATATTTGTGTTCAGCGAAGTCTCCCGAGTACAGGTTTTATGGTGTTTTCAAAAGTTACATCGTCAAATATAAGGCTTGCATTTCATTTTTTTCACATTAAAATTCACCAGATTGGTTACTGTGCCTTTGAGACACTATGGTAGCCCAAGAATGAAAATTACCCCTATGATGGCATACCATTTGCAATAGTAGACAACCCAAGGTATTGCAAACGGGGTATGTCCAGTCTTTTTTAGTAGCCACTTATTCACAAACACTGGCCAAAATTGGTGTTTTTTGCATTTTTCACACACAAACAAATATTAACGCTAACTTTGGCCAGTGTTTGAGACCAAATGGCTACTAAAAAAGACTGGACATACCCCATTTGCAATACCTTGGGTTGTCTACTATTGCAAATGGTATGCCATTATGGGTGTAAATTTCATTCCTGGGCTACTATAAAGTCCCAAAGGCAACGTAACCAATCTGGCGAATTTCAATTTCAAATGTAAAGTGCTATATTTGACCCTGTAACTTCCCAAAACGCCATAAAACCTGTACATAGGGGGTACTGTTTTACACGTGAGACTTTGCTGAATACAAATATGTGTATTTTATTGCAGTAAAGGCAAACAGTATTAAGACATTGACAGTTAAAATGTCATGTAGAACTAATCTTAAAAAATCTTATTTTCTCCAATTTTTTTCATATTAAATTATGTTTCATAGCTAAATATTTGGTGTTAATAAAATGATATATAATAAGGGTGGGTGCATTTAATATGAAAGAGGTGAATTACGGTTGGACAGATGCCAGGTTTTGTTTACATTTTGTTTCGTTCACAACGTGTACATTTGGCTCAGTCCTTAAGCTTACAGTGAAGAGGAGTTATCAACATTAGGGGCATCCACAGTGCATTTAAGAATTTACAGTGTACAAGCCTTGGAATATAAATGTACAATAAAGAGATAGAACTTACAACATATGTGTGGCGGAACTAACCTCGCCACTGTCCACTGGAGAGGCCTGGTTGCTTGCCTGCTCCCTTTAGACTATTGTCCTGCATTTTAAACTTTTATTTTACCGGCAGAAAGGTTTATTTGTTCCTTTCTGCGGACTGTTAAAGCCATGAAACCCCAGATAGCTATGCCATGGAGCCCAGCCGTATACTGAAAGACTGTATGAAAGACTTTGGCTCCATGGCGATTGAACTGTATTTATGTGATCTGAGCGCCATTCGGTAGTAATGTGCACTCAGATCTAAGCTATCTGGGGATATGTAGAATGTCTATGTTTTATGGAATAAATGTAACTGTATGTAATTTTATGTCTTTTATTGTATTGTTACTGCCATATGGTTAATGGAGTCTTGCCTCTGTCCTGGGAGATAATCCCCTGGGAGGGATTGTGATGTAAATGTGGGTGTGTTTTATGGTTCTCCTGTAAACGATTTGTTGTACTGTGTCCCACCCTGTGGGATGTCCCCTTGCATGGGGACTTGCATAAAAGCCAGTGTGTGGCCATTACAAGTGAGTTCCTGCTTAACCCTCAAAGTGAAGTGTCGTCTCATTATTGGGGGAGGATTTATTGTATGCTGTTCCAGTTTGACTGCTAGGAGTACAAACCTATTCGCATGGTTTTTCCTATTCGGCTGTTTCCAGTATTCGTGTGTTTGCAGTTCGGGAGAGTGGTGACTGCAGTAGCTGTCTGTGCATCTGAAAGGGGAAGATCGCCTAAATGGTTTTTAACCGCTTGTGGGCAAAACGGTCCGTTACAATATGAACAATGAGACATTATAAAACACAGCTCCAAATGTTTTTTGTAGCAAGTAACCAGAAGGTTAAGCAAGGGAGTCAACAGATATGGGAAAGAGGGGACAGAAAGGAAGAGAAGAGGGGTGATGGGGAGAAGAGGGAAAAAATAAGCGAATAAAAAATAAAGAGAAAAAATAAAAAATACTGTAAGTGTCCTAGGGAATCAAGAGATGGCAAGGAACCCCTAAATGTGCCCAAGCCAGGGGTCCTAAATCTTGTAGAGCTGGGTTAGAAGTACCCTGGGTTTCGAGTTATTCCCAGATGACAATTACGAATAGAGCCTTGTCACTAATGATGAAATCTATCACCCTAAGAAATCCTTTATTCAGCCACCAATGAAAAAGCGATGGAGCTGGGAAAAGAAATGTTATCCTGTAATATGCAGGACTTACAGAGAGATGACAAGTGGGTAAGAGTAGGGCTCACCAATGGCGTGGGAAGGAGGTTGCTTGAGTTATTGCAGTTTATTTTGTTATTTATACATTATAAGTTAAACATTAAATATCAGTATTCTATTCTTCATAGTGCAAACAATATTAAAGGAGCACTATAGGGTCAGGAACGCAAACATGTATTCCAGACCCTATAGAGTTAAAACACTATCTAGCCACCCTGGTCCCCTCATGCCTCCCTAAATATAATAAATCTTACTTGTATTCAAGTCTGAAACTGCCTGTTTCCTTTAGACCTGCCCACTGCCTGCTGACATCAGCAGAAGTGGTAGCCTGATCCAATCACAATGCTTCCCCATAGGATTGGCTGAGACTGACAAAGAGGCAGATCAGGGGCAGAGCCAGCACAATTCAAACACAGCCCTGGTCAATCAGCATCTCCTCATAGAGATTAATTGAATCAGTGAATCTCTATGAGGAAAGTTCAGAAAAAAGTCCTGATATAGCTCGAGGCATTGAAAAATATATCTTACACTGAAATATGAAAGATGTTGCTGAACTACAACTCCCATGATTCTTTCAATGAAACAGATAGCCGGGGAATCATGGGAGTTGTAGTTTAGCAACATCTAGGGGGCCGCAGGTTGGACAGCCCTGCTCTAGTGGCTGTCTACCAGACAGTCACTAGAGGGCTTTCTGGGTCGAAATGGCACTTTACACACCCACTGCCAGTGGCGTACACATGACCCATGGGGCCCCGGTGCGAAAATTGATCCGTGGGCCCCCCCCGCAACACATGGCGGCGGGCACCTGGTCGCAGGGCTTGCAGGGCTGCGACCCTGCGACCGCGGTATGCACACACACTTAAAGGACCACTACAGACACCCAGATCACATCAGCTCAATGAAGTGGTCTGGGTGCCAGGTCCCTCTAGTTTTAACCCTGCTGCTGAAAACATAGCCGTTTCAGAGAAACGGCTATGTTTCACTGAGGGTTAATCCAGCCTCTAGTGGCTGTCTCATTGACAGCCGCTAGAGGAGCTTCCGCGATTCTCACTATGAAAATCACAGTGAGAAGACACTGGAAGTCCATAGGAAAGCATTGAGTAATGCTTTCCTATGGGCGGTTTAAATGCGCGCGCACCTCTTGCCGCGCATGTGCATTCGGAGCTGATAGGAGGAGGGATCCCCAGCGCCAAGGGAGTCTGACGCTGGAGAAAGGTAAATGCTGAAGACACACACACACACACTCTCACGAACAGACACATACACACTAGCTAACAGACACACACATTTAATGACAGAGACACACTCAGTGACAGACATACATACACACTCACAAAACATACACTTTCAATGACAAACACACACTCACTAACAGACATCAAACACACTCAGTAACAGACACACACAGTAACACACTCACTAGCAGACACACACCCAATAACAGACACACTCACTGACACATACACTAACACACACACACACACACACACACACACACACACACACTAACACATACACACAAACACTAACACACACACACACACACACTAACACACACATTTTTTTTAAAATTTAATCCCCCCCAGCCTCCTTACCTTTTGGAGTGCTGGGGGGATTCCCTGGGGTCCAGTGGTGCCGCTGGGCGGGCAGGCTGGCTGTCTGGGTGGCCGGTGCGCGAGGGAGAACTCTCCCCTAAGTGCTTCCTCTTCAGCTCCCTCGCGCGCTGCGTGGGGATGCCGGCGCCGGAAGATGACGTTATCTTCCGGCTCCGGCATCAGTGCGGTGCGCGAGGGAGCTGAAGAGGAAGCACTTAGGGGAGAGTGCTCCCTCGCGCACCGGCCACCCAGACAGCCAGCCTGCCCGCCCAGCGGCACCACTGGGGGGTCCTGGGGTGGCCGGCTCCTGGGCCCCCCAGGAGAAGAGGCTGGCCCTGTGGGTACATACCGGGTCGCAGGGGCGGCCGGGCCCCCTGGTGGGCCGGGCCCTGTCACAGCCGCGACCCCTGCGACCCTGGTATGTACGCCACTGCCCACTGCATGAGGACACTCAGTCAGATTTTTCCCCATAGGCAATCATTGATTCAATGCTTTCCTTTGGGGAGGTCTAATGCGCTTGCTGCATTTGCCACGCATGCACGTTAGCGCCCGCTCGTCACAGGGCGGAGGAAGGGCGGGATAAGGTAAGTAAATAAATGTTTTTTACCCAGCTGGGGGACTCAAGGTAGGGTGGGAGGAAGGGGAAACAATAGTGCCAGGAATACAGCTTTGTATTCCTGTCACTATAGTATCCCTTTAACAAAAGAAGTCATTGATGTGATGAGACTGCAAGATTTCAATCATTCTGTTAATAAATATGTACGAACAGTTTTTGAGGGCTCTGCATATCTCTGTGCCTCCATCCAATAGTGGCATCACTCTAAGGGGAGCTGGGGAGCCATAAACCTCCTACCTTGCAGAGATACAGACCATTCCCCACTGGCCCTGCATAGATCAATGACCCCTGCTGGACAATCCTATAGAAAGTTAAGCAGGAGGTGCGTGGTTAATTAAAAATCAAAACGCTAAATTAAATAATGAAATTTGTGAGGAGTCTGTTGTTACAATACAAACAGCCTTCCCACACACATCACACAGACACCACACACACAGCCATCACACACATAGCCATACACATACTCATCACATACAACCACCACACACAGCTGCTATACATACCTTACACACATAGCTGCACAAACACATACATCACAAGCACAGCTGACACACACACAGACACACACATCAACACAGCTTCCCTACACCACACACATCACTGTAAGTTTTATAACAGTACCCCAGCCATCACAAATGGGCTGTGTGTGAGGACTATAAATAGTTAAATAAGTTAGAACCTAGTGATACCCACCTCAGCCCCAATCCATTAGCAGTGTGTAGAGACTATAATTATAATATAAGGGGGGGCCTAATATCTAATTATAATTTACAATTGAGGATAGTGGACATGATATTGTCCAACCCACCCAAATTGCCATTGTCATCCCCCCGGGTGGCTAGGAGTTCCCAATCCCCTAGCCACACACCCCTTAAAATTAATTCGCCCTACCTATCCCGTCTAACCCTAATAATAGTGAGGAGACTATTAAAACGAATACCTGCCAGTGGGAAAATAATTTGGATTTTTACAAATCTGGGCCTGACTTTGAAATCCAATGTAGTAGAGCAGCAGAAAATGCTAGCAGAATGCTTGGTTGTATAGGGAGAGGTATTAGCAGTAGAAAGAGGGAAGTGCTCATGCCATTGTACAGAACACTGGTGAGACCTCACTTGGAGTATTGTACACAGTACTGGAGACTGTATCTTCAGAAGGATATTGATGCCTTAGAGAGGGTTCAGAGAAGGGCTACTAAACTGGTTCATGGATTGCAGGATAAAACCAGGAAAGGTTAAAGGATCTTTTGATGTATAGCTTGGAGGAAATACAATACAGGGGGGATATGAAAGAAACATTTAAATATATAAAGGGAATCAACACAGTAAAGGAGGAGACTATATGTAAAAGAAGAAAAACTACCACAAGAGGACATATTCTTAAATTAGAGGGGTAAAGGTTTAAAAATTATTTCAGGAAGTATTACTTTACAGAGACAGTAGTGGATGCATGGAATAGCCTTCCAGCTGATGTGGTAGAGGTTAACACAGTGAGGGAGTTTAAGCATGCGTGGGATAGACATAAGGATATCCTAGACTAATGTAAGTATTTAGAAAATTAGGCAGACTAGATGGGCCAAACAGTTCTTATCTGCCAACACATTCTATGTTTCTATGTTTACTTGATTTAGGTCAATTTTATCACTGATTTGCAAAAAAAAAATGCTAAAAATATCTCCATAGACAGCTGGATGGTTTTGTCTTGTTCGTTATGGGGCCATTCGGAGTAAATAATCCTATAATAAAGTCTTACTATGATAATATCTAAATTATTTATAAATGCCTGCAATTTTTGTGTTTATGAATGCTAGAAAATGTGTTATTATATTAATTGATGTTGGTTTTACAGGCAAGGAGAAAGAAGTAGACTATTTTCTACTGATCAAAACGCAAGCTTTGGAGAAAGAGTTAATTCAAAAATACTTGATAAAGAGAGATCTGGAAATCTCCAAGTGGACCTCAACCAGGCCATTAATGAAAAAAAAAGTCAGAATGCTTCACAAAAAGCCATTACACTCAGGAGAAAACCCATATCTCTTTCAGCATCACACTTCAGAAAAAAATTAGAGGACTGGAATGCCTTCTTCGAAAGAGTGCCATTTAGAAAATTTTCTAGAGTATTAACTACCAAATTGCCTCACAATGCATGGACTTTTAAGGATATTCCATCAACCCGTCGTATTTCCATGACTACAAGGCGTTCTTTGAAGATGAGTGATTTTACTGCCGAGCCAATGTGGGAATTTGATGACAATTATATTGTGGACACATTATCCAGGCAAACAGTGAGTGTTTCTGGTGGAATTTTACTGTTTGTAATCCATTTTGAGAAACAAAATTACTCCTAATTCTTATTGCTGTTTCTGCATGTCATATAGAGCAGGGGTGGGCAATCTTCAGCCCTCCAGATGTTTTGGACTACATCTCACATAATGCTCTTAGGGCCAAAGCATCAAGGGAGACGTAGTCCATAACATCTGGAGGGCCAAAGATTGCCCACCCCTGATATAGAGCATATTCAAATATGCTTTCAGTTTTTATATTGGCCATATTAAAGTATAACTGTATTGGAAAGCAATATTTTCTGTTTATAAAAACCTTTTTGAAACAATTTTTAGGTTATGAACTAATTTTAAATACAGAAAAAAAAATATAGTAAATAAAAAGAAATAGAGTAGTGAACAATATTGCTTTCCTGTCACATTGGGTAAATTTGACTTTCCATACCCAAAAGAAAACACAACAAAGTCAGTAAATGACATTACATTTCATCCTTTGAAACCTTTAGTACAGCGAGATGTTTATAAAGGACAGGCTAGACAGATATAAAACAATGCCTTAAGCTAGTTTCAGATGTATAAAACACATATTAATTCAGGCACTCAAGGATAAAAGCCCCAAATCCTTTATTTAGAGCAAAGAAAAACAGCAGCAACGTTTCGACCCTGTCAAGCTTGACAAAGACTCTGCTGGGTCGAAACGTTGCTGTTGTTTTGCTCTAAATAAAGCTGCTATTTTAGCTTTTATCCTTAAGTGCCTGGATTAATATTTATTTTCTATATCTGGAAGTGAGACCCGGCCGTCCTCAGGTCCTGAGCTCCCTGGAAGCCTTGACAGTGCAGTATCCATTATCTTTTCTACATTAAAGGACCACTATAGGCACCCAGACCACTTTAGCTCAATGAAGTGGTCTGGGTGCCAGGTCCCTCTAGTGCTAACCCTGCAGCTGAAAACATAGCAGTTTCAGAGAAACTGCTATGTTTACACTGAGGGTTAATCCAGCCTCAAGTGGCTGTCTCTCTGACAGCCGCTAGAGGCGCTTCTCACTATGAAAATCATGCGCATTCAGCGCCGACGTCGGCAGAGGGAGGAGAGTTCTCGGCGCTGGTGAAAGTTAAGTGGCTGAAGGGGTTTTAACGAGTTTGTTTTCCTGGCACTATAGTGGTCCTTTAAGCAAGTTTCAAACATGTCACCTAGTTATAGCCATAAAAAAAAGAAATAGCTACCATAAAAAAAATGTTTTGCTACTGTATAAATCAGGCACTCAAGATGTTACATCTCGCCTGATGCTTTGCCAGCATTATGTATTACAAGATACAAATTTCATCTGTTATTTTACACACACACACACACACACACACATATATATTGCAGTACTGTTTAGTAGATGTGTACCCACCACATAAAGACCACATAGGTTTTTTCATTTCTATTAATTAAAAAAAAAAAAACTAAATGTCTTGGCCATTACTCATTAATTTGTGCTACTTTCATTTGGCGTTTTGGAGTTGCAGAATTAAGCCAAATCGGACAAATGACTGTTTGAAAATGAAAAAAAAAAACATACACATCTGCCCTTTATCCACACTGATAATATCCTAGTACCCTCATTCACCACAAAGCCAACAAGAGAGCTAATTATTTCCGAGTGTCCTAGACATTCGTGAGATCAGTTCAGGCACACCAAACCCACTATATTTACAGTGATGGCTAACCTTGACACCATAAATTGTTTCTGGACTACATTTCCCATAATGCTCAGCATCATGGGAGATGTAGTCCAGAAACAATTTTTGGTGTCAAGGTTAGCCATCACTGCACTAGAACATCTTTTGCATGCATTTTTTTTGTCTAGATACTCTCTTTAGATTGACTTTTTCAGTCTCTTTTTATTAGAGCTGCCCGATATCTGTGAAAATAAAGGCAATGAACTCTTTGTGGCTGAAGGAGAAATTTCTCCCACAAATTACAATTTTTATGGATAATCGTCATTTCAGTAATCTAGAGTGGCAGAGACTGGAACATTTCATTCCTCCATTTGGCTGGATGGAATTAAACTACACAGGTGAGAATCGTGTAAAGTTAAAGTCCATTTTACATAGTACCTACTGTTGTAATTTCATTAGAACATCATTTTGTTAATAGATTATATTAAACAATAGTTGAGGTTGGGGACAAAAGCCAAGGACTCTAGTGAAGAAGTTGGTTGTGATAGGCCTAACAAATTAATAATGAATAATATTAGTTAATGTTTGAGGCTCTACCGCTCGAATTTCTGCGCGTATATTCTCCTTGAGCTACTCAAGTGTTTGTGGTTTGTTCATGTACACCCACTGAATTTTGGGGATTTCTTGAAATCATCGTTCGCTGAACAGTTGTCTCAGTTTTTTTTTTTAATACTTTATTTTAGTTTTTATAAAGAATACGTACAATACAGGCATAAGAAACATAATGGTAAACATCATTGTAATGAAAAAAAGTTACACCATAGATCATATTTCCAATTAATCAATATTCCATGTTTTAGTGAAATACAGGCTGTTGAGCTGGGCTTCCCGGTTGTTGGTCGCAATAAGTGTCTTCTAGCTAGTCAACATAAAATAGCTTATGAGGTAAAAGAGGGTTACTATTTTACTAGCATTTAGGTGGAGCATAGCAGGAAGGTGTGTAAGTACATGACATGTTTCGTTAGTGGGGTCGCTTGTTTGCTGTTAAATTTGGTCACTTTGTAAAGGTGATTTCCTGAGTGGGTGTCAGTGTCATCTCATTCTGCAAGCATGTCATGATGTAATAACAGTGGCGTACTACCAGGGTCGCAGCTGCTACTGGGCCTGTTACTCCAGGGGGCCCAGCTGCCCTGTCAACTTCTGCAACCGTGGGCCGGTACCTGAAAGGGAGGGCTCATACAGAGAATTTCCTGTCAGATTGGTTACCCCGGTCCACTCAGCCACGCTACTTGGATAAGAGCGGGTGCAGAGGAGGATTGGGGAAATACATTTGGAGGTGCTGGGGGTGGGATGAGAAACATGAGGATAGAAAAAGGCACATGGATGGATGAGACACATGGAGGGTCTGAGGAGATGAGACAAATGGAGAGGCTAGGGGTGAATGAAACACATGGAGGGACAGTGAGAGAATGAGACACATAGGAGGCTGTGGGTGATGAGACACATGGAGCAGCTGAAGGGGAGAATGAGACAAATGGAGAAGCTGGGGGTGAAACAAATGGAGGGGCTGAAGGGTGTGAGACACATGAAGGTCCTGGGGATGTTGAGTCACACAGTGGGTGTCCCATGACAATTTTTGCACCGAGGCCTGGTGGTTTCTAGTTACAACTCTGTGTACTAGTTAGATTTTGATTGCAATTGTAACAGTTTGGGTGTGATTGTAACAGTGTGGGGGTAGTGAGTGGCAGGTTGCGTGAGGGGATCACAGTGTATGTCAACTTATTTTTGTATTGGGGCAATATGTGGGGAGTATGTGTTTAACAGAGTCTCCCCACATATTGATTCCTTCTAGTGTTATTATTATTATTTTGTTTTATTAATTTGTCCTCTACTGCTACTGCTGTGGGCAATAATACAGTCCTTGGTGGTCCAGTGGGTCCGTGATGGTAGGTGGGCTGCTGGTGGAGTCTCTGGTGGTCCACTGGGTCCCTGGTGGTCCGGTGGGCTGCTGGTGGATTCCCTGGTGGTCCAGTGGGCTGCTTATGCAGCTGCATGCCTCACTGTCTGACACTTTCTCATGATGTTAGAGAGAAGGCTGGAAAACCAAAGAAATGTGTTACTTGCTCACTATCCAAAATCCCTATGCACATTTAAAACAGTGGAGGTTTTTAGTATCACTCCAATGACCATTTAAGTGTAAGCTGTCCTGCCACGTCAAGGCTAACAATTCACGTTGCTTCTTTCAGCTTCAGGTAAAAAAAAAAATCTCCAATGACACAGAGGGGTATTTAGCTAAAATCCTACATACTTATTAACCCTTAATAGAGAACACATGGGGTGGGCGTCAGCATTGTAATATGGCTGTGTAATACAAAGCAAATACAAATATACAAACTCCCACTACTCCTGAGCAGCTGCAATGAGACGCTGCTAGCCCGATCAGAATCGAACACCTTTCAATATAAGTGGCGCAGGGCCAGTCGGGGAAATCTTTTGAATCCCTTGTGACTTGTTTGTTGTGAGACAGGGAATGTGAGCTTCCTGCAACATTAGAAATACAATGAGCATAGGCAGCTATCCTATTTGGATCAAGGTTGCATACATACCAGGCTGACCGTCTATTACTCTGGTCAATCCAACTCAGGGTAAACCATGCCCAAAGCACTACCAAAGGAATGAATGTTATTAGCACATTTAATGTTGTTCTCTTGCTGTGGATAATACCCAGGTAATACCAAGAAAACAAAGTTTGGAAATATTTGAGGTATGTCATATTAAGCCTTTAATTGTATCTATCGAAAGCCACTGCTTCCAGTGTAAACATGAATGTTCCTTCAGAAAACAGTGGCTTCCACTATATCTAGTCACATGAAAATCTAACCTCTAAATACAAGTTCATTATAATTTTTGTCAAAGATATTGTTCCCTACTTGTTCTGCTCTTTTTCACATTCTCCAGATGTTAAGGAAGTAGTCTCTGCTCTCCCTCATCTGCCTAATCAGCAAATCCTTCTTGCTGGCAACACAATTGAGGGCCCACGTTGTGTTAGCTGTGCTGTGGTGGGTAACGGGGGCATATTGAATGGATCACGTCTTGGTCAGGAGATTGATAACCATGACTATGTGTTTCGGTAAGTTCTAAAAGATGTCTTCAAAAAGAAATTGATGAATATCACTAAACACAGGAGAAGATATTAGCTTAATTTCTATGATACATTTTATTATCTTCTTTGGAAAATGGATAATATGGCCACCTGCTGTTATTTAGTTTAAACTACTATAATGAATGTATTTAAAGGGCTAGCTTATTCTGTAGACCTGTAGTGTGCTAAGACACATCATATAGAGGAGCCGCATATCCGGGCTTGTTTCCAACCTTGGCCTCAAGTTAGTTCCCGACGTTACGTTTTATCGGGCCCGGCCAAGTCTTTAACCGGTTCAAATTAATTTAATTCCTGTCTTTAAAGGCCAACAAGTATAGGTTTGAATCTGAAGCCTATATTTTACATTAAATACAGGCTTCAGCGACTCGGTTTCATTCACTGGTAAGATATCACCCATTAAATGGGCTTTTACCATTTATTACCGCCCTTAAGCCACTGCTTACAATGCTGCAAGTGGGAACATTCCCACTAAACAGTAGCAGGTAGCTGATCATTGTAATAAAATACTAACAACTCGGTAGCTATTGCAGGCAGGGAAGTTAAGTGAGGGTGGTAGTAAAATTGTACAAAATTATGTAATTTTAATATATTTCGTATTTCCTGAATACCAGTCTATTAACAAAATGTTTTTATATGTTTTGTTTTACTATTTATTCCATGTTTCAAATACATATTTAATTAGTGTTATTTTTAAATTAAAAAATGGTCAGTAGGGAGAACTTAAAATAAGTATAAACTCTCTCATTATCACACCTTCCAACTTTGCGTGCCAGGACAGAAGTGGGCAGGCATGAGAGCAAGTTTCAGAGATGGGCAGGTTTGCCCATGAAAGGAACAGGTTTGCTCATCAAGTGGCTGACTGACAGTCTGTCCCCTGATGACAGTACATACACAAAGCGCTGCTGTAATGCTCTGTGCATGTGCCTGATACCCAGTCTCTAACACTGGACAATTCTCATGGAAACCCATTTTTGCAGGGAGAGCACCCCAAAATTCAGGACTATCCCAGTAAAATCAGGACAGTTGGCACCAATGTATCATGTGTTAGGTTCTTTTTTTATACTTCTTTCCATCTCCAAGAGATCTGAGCTGTAACACACCCATCACCTATTTGCCTTCTTTTTTTTCAGTGTAAATGGAGCAGTAACTAAAGGATTTGAGATTGACGTAGGGAACAGGACTTCATTTTATGGATTTACAGCTCACACTATGTATGCATCACTCTCACAGTTACAATTTGAAGGTTTTTCCAATATCCCAAAGGAAAGGGTAAGCCAGACAAACACAAAATGAGCGTAACTTTCCTTCCCCCCCCCTTTATTACTTTATCACTTTATCACTTTACTTCTTTCTTGCTGCCCAGTGACTTGATGTTTTTGTAATGTATTTTGTTTTTTTATTACACTATTATAAATTATTTTATACGTATCTGAAAGAGGTAGAAAGATGCAATATTTTGCGCACAAGAGAAAAGGTGAAAAACAAACAAACAATGTATAAAAGGTGGAATAACAGTTAAAACAATACTAATAGAATGAAACGCACATAAACAAATGTTTGGAGTAGGGCCGTGAACTTTATTGAAAGAAATTTAAAAGAACTGTAACTTCAAACATTTACATTTATCAAACAACTGTAGAAATATTCATATGACTTGTAAGAAAATACCTTGCATTTTACAGCCAGGAAAAAACACACACACATTGCGGCCTTTTAAAAGCTCATACACCACACTACTACAATTTACCACCCTATTTTATTAGGAAAGCAATTAGAGATTCCAAATAAAGACCACATCAGAAATAGAATAAAATGCAGAAAGGATGTGAGGGATGTGGCCACACTTTCACTATTATTGCTCATTTCTTTGAGGATTACCTCACAGGTCACCGCTACTTATAACCTTATTGTCCGTGCAAAATCAGCACAAGACAAAAGCTCTTTGGTTTTCAACCAATTGTGAACAGTGCGAGCCAAGTTATTCAGCTTTGTTCAGACCCGAGAGCCAAAGGTAGACCTAAATGTCAATTGTCTGTTTTTCTGCACAAGACAATTGAGCATGCGCACAAAACTGACACAGGCTAGACAGCAAATGCAACAATCCAGAAGTCCTGAAAGATCCTTGATCACAAACTGGGATTCTCTACTCTGGCACAATTTAACTGCCATTGAATGTTTAAGTAATTTACTACCAGTTACTTATTTGTAATCATTCCTTTTTTACATCAAAAAGTGCAATTTTTTTTTCTTCTCCTCCACCAGTTACTTTTTGGTTTAGGAAGTATTTTCAGTATACAAATGTAGATGCCCTTATTATTTACAAATAACTGGCTGCGACCATATGGTTTTCTAATTGTTTTTGGCGATACTTTAAGGACTACTTTTTAAAAACTATAAAATGTGAAAATCACCTTCAATATGCAGGTTTAAAGGTATTGTTTCTCATATTGATATTCTTATATATTGAACGTTTATATAATATCATCTAACCACCGTGCACCTATGTTGATATCATGCTCAATCATCTATGATTGCGGAGGTACCGGCATAGTGCCAAATAAGATAGGTGAAAAAATTGCACAAATTTAAAGGGAAACTATAGTGCCAGGAAAACAAAGTTGCACAGCAATGGCGGGTCTCTCATCAGTATTTTCCCCACTTGAAAGCATGTATAATGCTTTGTTAACCCTTAAAAGTAATTGTTGCAGTTTATTAAGAACTGCAATAATTAAGGAGCCTGGGACTATGCACCCAGACCATTTCAATGAGCTGAAGTGGTCTGGGTGCCTAAAGTGTCCCTTACCCTTTGTTACATACTATCTATTAGTTAGGGCAACATAGTGGTTTGTCATTTATAGATAAACTGATTGATAGACAGACACTAATCTAAAATAACTTTTTTTTTTATTATTTGAAAGTTGCATGTACACATCCATAACACTTTTTTTTAATTTAATTAATTTTTTTTAAAGCATTGTTCAGCTGGCATCTGTACAGGAAATGACACCCTCATTAGGAATTCCACCTGCTCTCATTTATATTTAATGCATATGATTACAGAAGGTTTAATTATAATAGTGCTTCTCTTTGTGGGTTTCCCAGGAAACAAAGTACATCCTTTACACTGAGGGACAGAGAGACTTTGAGTGGCTAGAAGCTCTACAAAAGAACAAAGAAGTCACCAGGGGATCTCTACAGTCATACAGGTAAAAAAACAAAAACAAACAAAAAACCCAAACTTGTAATCTGTATAAAGCTTTCTCTGGAACTAGCCACCCATATAAAGTAATTTAAATTAAAGGATCCCCAACTTTTATCCAACTCTGATCCTCTGTAAATGAAACAATTAATACTTTTTAATTGAAAGTACAATACACTATTTAGTAATATATATAGTTTTTCCCTACACACATGAAAGTGGAGTCACCACCAAACCATCCCTTATTGAAATATTGAGTCCAAGTTGACCACACTGCAACAGAAAAGCTAATCTAAAGTATTCAAGGTAATTCACTACAGCCAGAACACACTCCGGATTACCACAATTATTACATCTATTTTTTTAAATTTGCAATTCAGAAATTTGCTAAAGGCAAATCCAGAATAAATCCTGTGATTTCCACCAAAATTGCGCATTCGGTTTAGAACAATCCAGTATGCGGTGTGAAACATTTACAAAGTGCACGATTTGCATATTTATCAAACACTGAACATTTACCAGATTCACTCTGATCTGTTCTAGTAGAAGACAAAATTGCCAAATAAATTCACCTGCTTTTTGCAAGTTAAGGCAGATTATTATTATTATGATATTTATAGAGCGCAGTCAAATTCCGCAGGGCTTTACAATGGGTGGATGAACAGACATGTAGTTGTAACCAGACAAGTTGCACACACAGGAACAGAGGGGTTGAGGGCCCTCCTCAATGAGCTTACATGCTAGAGGGAGTGGGGTAAAATTACACAAAAAGGTAAGGATAATATTAGACTAATGACAGTTGCAGAAGAGGAATCAGTCAGGAGCTATAAATAGTTTAATTGATACGCTTTTATGAAGTAGTGGGTTTTTAACGATTTTTTGAAGGAGTTGAGACTGGGTGAGCATCTAACGGAGGAGGGAAGCGAGTTCCACAGGAACGGTGCAGCCCTCGAGAAATCTTAAAGGCGAGCATCAGACGTGGGAGTATGGACCGAAGATAGACGTAAGTCTTCAGCAGATCGTAAGGGCCTAGACGGGACATACTTGTGTATAAGGGAGGATTAATAGGTGGGAGCAGCATTATGTAGAGATCTGAAAGCAAGAACCAGAATTTTAAATTGAGCTCTATATTTTATAGGAAGCCAATGTAGGGATTGACAGAAGGGTGAGGCATGGGAGGTGCGTGGCGGACAGGAAGATGAGCCTTGCCGCCGCATTCATTATGGACTGTAACGGCGCTAGTTGGGAGCACGTAAGACCACTGAGAAGCGGATTACAGTAGTCAAGGCGAGAAAAGACAGTAGAATGGACCAACACCTTAGTCGCATCTGGTGTTAAATAGGGGCGGATGCGCGCAATGTTTTTGAAATGGAAATTACAGGATTTGGCAATAGATTGAACATGAGGCTTGAAGGAGAGGTCGGAGTCAAAGAGAACACCTAGGCAGCGAGCCTGTGTGGTGGAGCTGATGGTAGCACCGTTGACTTGGAGGGAGACAGACACAGGAGTAACAACACTTGATGGAGGAAAGACCAGAATTTCAGTTTTGGTCAAATTTAGTTTAAGGAAGTGGGAAGCCATCCAGTTAGAAACAGCAGAGAGGCAGTCAGAGACACTAGTCAAGAGGGACGGGGAGAGATCAGGAGAGGACAGGTAGATTTGCATGTCATCCGCATAGAAATGATATTGGAAGCCAAAGGAGCTAATGAGTTTACCAAGGGAGGCAGTATAGATGGAGAACAGTAGGGGACCAAGGACTGAACCTTTGGGGACACCAACAGAGAGGAGTTGGGAAGAAGCAGAGCCAGAGAAAGAAACACTGAAAGAGCGCTGGGAGAGGTAGGAGGAGCACCAGGAGAGAGCAGTATCTTGTAGATCGATATTGCGGAGGATGAAAAGAAGCTGTTGATGATCAACAGTGTCAAAAGCCGCAGACAGGTCAAGGAGAATTAGGATAGACTAGTGACCACGAGATTTTGCAGCGAGTAGATCATTGGATACTTTGGTCAGTGCCGTTTCCACAGAGTGCTTAGCGCGGAAACCAGACTGAAGCGGGTCTGGCAGAGAGTTGGACTCGAGGAAGTCTGTCAATCTCGTATACACAATTTTTTCAAGGATCTTGGATGCAAAAGGCAGTAGCGAGATAGGACGATAGTTGGATGGGGAGTTAGGGTCAAGATTGAGCTTCTTTAGAATTGGGGTTAGAGTTGCATGTTTGAAGGGCAATGGAAATATACCAGAGGAGAGAGAAAGATTGAGAATTTTAGTGAGAGGTGGAGAAAGAGAAGAAGACAGAGTATGGATGAGATGCGAGGGAATTGGATCTAGGGAGCAGGTGGTGGGGCGGGAGGACAGATAAATCTGCAATATTACTCACTTGCAGCACAAGAAGCCAGCTGACAAACTATTTACAAAAGTCAAAAATTCCTGAAGATGTGGTCCCTTTTAATCCTGACATAGGTGGGAGGGTTAAATAGTTAACTCTCTATCTGACATTTGTTTCTATGTATTTATATATTAATTAGCCATTTACTGTCTGCTGCACCCAGTTGGCTGAAACACTCATATATGAGAATTGTAATTATTTTTATTGAATTGAGAATTAAATTTTTTGTCCATTTCAGAGCTGTCTTAGATAAATGTTGTAAATTATGCCTGTATGTTTGCATCCAAATACAATCAGATTGTTCCTAATAATTTTCACAGTTCTGGCTATATCACAATCAAACACATAGTCCATTAAATTGTTTTCTTTACAATTTAGTAGATATACCCCCAGAGGAAACATGAATGTATTTTTGTTCTGCATGTTTTCCTTGGGGTTATATGAAAACAAAACAGTCAATAAAAGCTGCAGCCCTACTGTCTGCAGCTTTTGCAAGAACACCATTTTTCCCGTGACACAGACTTGAAGAAAACACCAATCAGAAGTCTCTGTGCTGGAGCTGGAGCTGCAACTGCGAATGTGCACACAATTGTGATTTTGATAATCTTTTCAATGCTACCGTGTAAAACATTGTTCATTGCTAAGTGTAGCTGCAGAAGTCTGTGAAAATTCCTGTCTGTGCTCATTTGCATGTCAAGTTAGGAACTCTGGGATAGATGTGGAAACACAATTTCTCTAGATTCTAAGGAGGACTCTTCAGGTATGGCACAACAATCTACACTTTTATAAACGGTCACAAACATGTCAAAAAGGCTGAAGTGCTTTATTTATGTCCATTGTTCCAGGGTCCCTTTAACACCAATATGTCTCTTAATTATTATGTAAATGACACAACTGCCTTCTGTTTTATCTGTATACTTACTTCTAAGCCTTATTCAATACTTACTTGTGATTCTTCTGGTGATTTTTACTTCCACTGATGGATGTCCCGTATACCCAGGTTGATATATGGGGCCTCCATCTAAGGGAAAGGTTAAGAGCCACTGCAAGGTGTGACATCACTTTACTGAATGACTAAATATACTTAAGTACAAAAAAAACCCTAAAACAAGTAATTATACTTATTGTGTAGTTTCTGTTGAGTTACAGATAGGCCATATGCCTTACAAAATATTTTCTTTTAGACTCCCATGAGCAACTCTTCCTCTGAAATGTTTGGGATGACGACAACAACTATTACCTATATTACAATTATAAAAAATACTTACATAGAAACATAGAAACATAGACTGTGACGGCAGATAAGAACCATTCGGCCCATCTAGTCTGCCCAATTTTCTAAATACTTTCATTAGTCCCTAGCCTTATCTTATAGTTAGGATAGCCTTATGCCTATCCCACGCATGCTTAAACTCCTTTACTGTGTTAACCTCTACCACTTCAGCTGGAAGCTATTCCATGCATCCACTACCCTCTCAGTAAAGTAATACTTCCTGATATTATTTTTAAACCTTCGTCCCTCTAATTTAAGACTATGTCCTCTTGTTGTGGTAGTTTTTCTTCTTTTAAATATAGTCTCCTCCTTTACTGTGTTGATTGCCTTTATACTATTTATACTATTAATTATATGGACTAGTGTGTTCCCATTACATACTTACAAGTAGCGCAATGCATGAAGAGTTGTTCTCTGTTAAAAGTTATGCTGCCGCCATTGCTTATACCATTGAAAATTAAAGATTGCATTTACTATAGCCTCTGTATGTATTATATTATGTAATAAATACATATAGGTAAATAGTTGTCAGCGCATTTCATTACTAACACTTGCCCTTTGAGAGCGACCATCTTGAAGGCCAGTAGCACCATGTATTTGCCAAGGTTTTTGCAATTTAAATGGCTGAACCTAGCTCAGTACAGATTTTTAAGATGCCTCACACTTACTCACAACACTACCTGCATGATCTTTGTTTAGAAAAGCCATATTTCTGAGAGGATTTAAAGATGGCTGCCCCATACAGCAAGGGCAGGAGAGGCACCAAAGTATGGTTCTTATTTATTATGTAATAATGTACACAAGCTATAATACATGTTAGCTTTTATTTTAAGTAATAATACATATTTATAATAATTTTCCTTTAAAAAGTGACATCTCAAAACTCAACGCCTACTAATATCCACTAGATGTCACTTTTCTATCATCATAATATAGCTTTTTGACTTTTACATGAATTTATCAGTGGGAGAATATATTGATCGCCAAATATATTTTTGGTTTTCTGGTTCTCTCACTGCTGTTCTAATCGTTACTTCCAGATCAGACCATGGTGGATTACTGCGACCTCTGCATGTTTACTGAGGCGTGAGGTGGTTGTACTGTTGTATTTCATAAATGGCTCAAAATAAAATGCAGTCTTACAGAGTTGTGCACTAAAGTGAGGCATGCTGGGAATATAAAATTAATTCAAAGGGAATTTCAAATATAAGGCCAAAATATCCACGCTGAACAAATAATAATTTCTAAATCTGCTCTTTTGGCTTACATTTTAGAATTTAATTCGAATTCACTTTGAATTCCCATGGAAAAATTAAAAAAAATATATCAAGAAAAATAAACGATTGAATGAAGTAATGTGTAAAAGAAGTTGCTTTAAAAAAATTGGGATTAAATTAGAGGGAAACTCCAGTGCTAGGAAAACAATCCATTTTCCTGGTACTGCAGGTTCGCTCTCCCTCCCACCCTCCAATCCCCGGTTGCTGAAGGGGTGAAAACATACCTGAGGCAGCGACGATGTCCTACGCCGCCGCTCCTCCTCTGCATTGCGTTGGCCGGTGGGCGAGACTGATCCCGCCCACTGGCCGGATCAGTCTTGCACACTTGCAGGGTTAAGAGTAGTGGGAGTTGGCACCCAGACCACTCCAATGGGCAGAAGTGGTCTGGATGCCTGGAGTGTTCCTTTAAAGAAAAAGAAAGGGGGTGGGCGTGGCGTGCCATTCTGAATTATAAAGTACACATATATAGCTATTTTGAAGTGGAGAGCCCAAGATATGTACAGGCATTAAACTAAAAAGGGACACTATAGTCATCAAAACAACTTTAGCTTAATGATGCAGTTTTGGTGTATAGATCATGCCCCTACAGCAGGCATAGGCAACCTTCGGCACTTCCGATGTTTTGGACTACACCTCCCATGATCCTTTGCCAGCATTATGAGTGTAAAAGCATTATGGGGGATGTAGTCCACAACATCTGGAGTGCCGAAGGTTGCCTATCCCTGCTCTACAGTCTCACTGCTCAATTCTCTTGCCATTTAGGTGTTACATCGCTTTGCTTATGCAGCCTTAGGCACACCTCCCTGCATGTGGCTTACGCAGCCTTCCTAAACACTTCCAGTAAAGAGTCATCTAATGCTTACACTTCCTTTATTGCAAATTCTGTTTAATTAAGAATTCTTATCTCTTACTAGACCCCACAGGAGCCTCCTGTATGTAAGTAAAGCTCAATTTACAGAGCAAGAGATAAAGTAAGTTACAGCTGATTGAAAATTAAACCATTTTGTTTTCATGTAGGCTGTCAGTCACAGTGAGAGAAGATGTGGCTAAGGCTGCATAAACAGAAACAAAAGTCATTTAACTCCTAAATGGCAGTGGATTGAGCAGTGAAACGTCAGAAGCATGATTTGTACATCAAAACTGGTTCATTAAGCTAAAGTTGTTTAGGTGACTATAGTGTCCATTTAACAAGAGATTCAGAGTTTATGGTTATTATCTAGAGTGATAATTGCTGAGAAATAAAGGAGAATTGAAGATTATGCTAGCTTTAGTGTACTAATAATCTTAATTTTAATAAGGACAGGAGGCGAGTATTTTGCATTAACTCTCTTTACTAAACTCCACAGCAGTAAAGAAAACGTAAAGAGTAACAAATAAATCACTGAGCAGCATAGTATATAAGGGTCATGCTGCCTGTACACTTCCTCTTTCTTAAAGCGACATCCAAGTCCAGATAGAGCTCGAACATCCAGAAACTCAACGAAACGGTAACTGCGGTCTCTGGCGAGCGGAACTTGAGGAGGCTCCTGGTAACGAGATAGGAGGAGAGACCAAACGAAGCCGTCATCCCATCTTACGGAGTCGTGAGGTTAACGAACCAGCGACCAGTGGAGGTCCTGAAGAGGGTTACACTGAAAGGAGAGTATAAAATCGGTTAGGTACTGAACCGTAACTGTTCACGTCTGTGGGCTTTAACAGAATGGTGTAAATTAAACAGTACAGACAGATTGTAAGCTGGCCATAGGCTAAATATGTGTAGGTGTAAGCATGTTGTACAACTAAACTGTCCGTCTAGGTGGAAACACTGGGAATAGAGATGGAAGGGATACCGAATATGTCCAGAAGATAGTGGAACCACTAATATGAATCCCAAAATCCATCACCTTAAGATCCACTCCCCCGAGGAGTCAGGGTAGGGAACAAAAGGGAGGGAAAATACTCGCCTCCTGTCCTTATTAAAATTAAGATTATTAGTACACTAAAGCTAGCATAATCTTCAATTTTATAACATGACAGGAGGCTTCCTATTTTGCAATTTTAACGCTGAAGAAGTGACAACCCAGCAGAAGGGGGAGTGCGAAAATAAAATGTACGGAAAGTGGATTCCCTAGACCAGTCCGCCGTTCTGAGAATATCCGAGAGGGACGCCCCTGCCAGGAAGGCTGATGAAGCCGCCGCACCGCGAACGGAGTGGGCGCCGAAGCGGGGTCTATACCTGCGAGGGAAAGGATCCAGCGGATCCATCGGGCCAAGGTGGTGACCGAGACTGGGGCGTGAGGGCGCACGTAGGAGACTAAGAGTTGGCCCGACGTAGAGGACCGGAGCGAGGAGGTAACCGAAACATACCTGCGGAGGGTGGACACGACGCAAAGCTGCGGGTCGTCGGGAAAAAATGGGTAAAAGACCGAGGTCGAACCCGACTTAGTGCGACGGGAAATGTGAAACGTGACCCCTTCAGGGGCCACTTCGAAAGCGTCCACGTCGAAGGCCCGAACGTCCGAAACCCGTCGGAAAGATACGAGACAGAGGAGGAAAGCGCACTTAGCGGATAGTTGGCGTAGGGAGAGGCGGTCATTCGGAAGCCAATCCCTGAAGAAGCGGAGAACCAGTCCCACATCCCATAGGTGAGGGTATCTGGGGGCGGGGGACGGCGGAGCCGCATACCGCGGAGTAGACGGCAGACCAGAGGGTCTTTGCCGACCGGGAGATCCCCGACGGGGGTGTGAGCCGCCGAAATCGCGGAGCGCACGACGTTGACCGAATGGTAAGAGCGGCCAGATGAAAACAAGGAGGAGAGAAAATTAAGAATCATGGGAATAGGTGCTGTAAAGGGATCGGAGTCCCGTTCCATGCACCAAGTAGACCAGGAGGCCCAAGCTGAAAGGTAACAGCGTCTAGTTCCCGGGGCCCATGAGTCCCATAAGAGGTCCCTAGCAGCCTGCGATAGTCCGCTGACTCGCCAGGAACCCCGGAAAGAGACCAAGCCACCAGGGGTAGCCGGTCTTCCAGGAGTAGTGGGTGGAGATGCCCTTTGGGATCCGTGAGTAGGTCCGGGAAGGATGGTAGGAGAAGAGGGTCCCTGTAGGAGGAGGCCAGGAGGTCCGGGAACCATGGTTGGCTCTGCCACAAGGGCGCTATGACAACCAGTTTGATCTGTTGCGTCCGTATCTGGTGTAGTGTTCTCGCAATCATGGAGAATGGGGGAAAAGCGTAGGCTCCTGTCGACGGCCATTGTTGGAGAAATGCGTCTGTCGCCTTGCTCTCCGGGTCCGGGAGCCAGCTGAAGAACTCCGGGGTCTGGTGATTGTTGCGAGAGGCAAACAGATCCAGGTGAAAGGGACCCCTCCGGGCTGCAAGGGCCCTGAAGATTCTCGTGTTTAGCTTCCAGTCGCTGACGTCTCTCCAGTGGCGAGAGAACCAGTCGGCTGTGAGATTGATTTCTCCTGGCAAGTATTCTGCCTGTAGCGTGATGTTGCGAGGGAGGCAATAGTCGAAAATGCCTTTCGTGATATCCGACAGCAGGCGAGAGCGAGCGCCTCCCAGGCGGTTGATGTACTGGACTGCGGATACATTGTCCATGCGCAGGAGGATGCAGCAGTTGGATCTTTCCCGGGCCAAGCTGCGAATCGCGAAGGATCCTGCCAGGAGTTCGAGGCAATTGATGTGCATGGAGAGCTCCTGCGCCGTCCATGTTCCCCCCGTGGAGATGGTTCCGTTGGTGGCACCCCATCCCCACAGGCTGGCGTCTGATTCCAGTACGAAGTCTGGAGCGTCTCCGAATATGGCCCTGCCGTTCCAGGCTTGCATGCTGTCCAGCCACCATGATAGTTCCTCGCGAACCTCCATCGTCACCAGGACGGGTTGGTCGTAAGTGGGCCTGCGGCGTAGGTATTTCGCCTTGAGACGTTGCATGGCCCTGTAGTGGAGGGGACCCGGAAATATGGCCTGAATGGAAGCCGAGAGGAGTCCTACAATCCTGGCCGGATTGCGTAGTGGAATGGAATCGAGACGGAGAACCCTGCGAATCTCCTTGCGAATGGCTGTGATCTTTGAGGCTGGTAGCCTCAGAGTGCATGTCGTCGAGTCGATCTCGAAGCCGAGGAATTGTATCGTCTGGGTAGGGGTCAGCTCCGATTTCTGTTGGTTTACGATAAAACCCAAGGACTCCAGTAGGGATACTGCCAGGTGAGTGTGTTGGCGTAGTCTGTGTTCGTCGGCGCAGAAGATGAGGAGATCGTCTAAGTAGATGATGCATCGAATGCCCCTTGATCTTAGGTGGGCCACCACTGGTTTTAGGAGTTTGGTGAAGCACCATGGGGCTGAGCTGAGCCCGAAAGGGAGGCAAGTGAATTGCCAAGGGCGTCCGTGCCAGAGGAAGCGAAGGAGTGCTCGACAGTCCGGGTGCACCGGGACTGACAGATACGCGTCCTTTAGATCGAGCCTGGTGAACCAGTCGTTGCTTCGAAGAAGGTCTCGCAGGAGGTGGATGCCTTCCATTTTGAAGTGGCGGTAGACCACATATGCGTTGAGGGCGCGTAGATTGATGACGGGCGGTATTCTCCCGATTTTTTCCGAACCAGGAAGATGTTGCTGAAGTAGCCACCCCCGTCGCGGGCCGGCTGGATAGCCCCTTTGTCTCGGAGCTCGCGTAGCTCCGTGTTGACGAGGTTGTGGTCGGAGGATGACATGTGGATGGGGCGAGGGGGCTGAACCTGAAAGGGGGTCCCCACTAGGTCTATGGTATATCCCTGTACAGTTTGTAGGATCCATGTGTCTGAGCATAGGGCGGCCCAATTCTGGAAAGAAAGGGAAATACGGCCCGCAGTGCGGGTACATGGTAACAGTGGAGGAATATGGGTCCTTACCTGCGGTAAAGCGGGAACGTCCGCGTCCGCGACCTCTATCCGAGCCTCTGGAAAAGGGTTGCTGCCGGTAGTCTCTTGTCGGGTAAAATGGTGTTGGTTGGGTGCGGGGGCCTGAAGGCCAAAATCGGCTGGCGGCACGGCCCCGTTGCCGGCCAGCCCTTCCAAAAACCCCTCTGGTAGGGTTGCTTCTGAAAACTCTGTGCATTGAGGACTGCGCTTTATTAAGGGAGGTGAACACGTTTACGTGTTTGTTGAGTTCCTTGAGGAACGGTTCACCAAATAGTTTCCCTTGTGCCTGGGGCCCAATCTCCTTTGTGCCAAGGTCTGCCAATTTGCCGTTAATACGGTACAACGCTGCTTTTCTTCTCTCCGAAGAGAGCGTAACATTAGTGTTTCCGATGAAACAAAAACACCGTTGTGCCCACTCACGAATATCATGTGCCCATTCCCTGATGTCCTCAGCGGAGAAGGAATCGGCTTTGTGTAGGCATCATCAGCCAGATACATAATGCGAGCCAGGGGGCCGACAGAATCCAGCAGGTTATCTTGGGCGCCCCATAGGCCTTTCTCCACCCCTCGGCGAGGGTCTCTACCACTGCGCGTCATGAAGGTTGACATAACCTTGTCGAATTCCGGGGTCTGAGCGACCTTATCCGGCAGGGAAGGGCGTGGGCATTCAGACCTGAGACGGCTGCGGACCTCTTTCTCCAGAGGTTTGCGGAGCCACAGGTGCATAAACCTTGAAAGGTGTTCTGGAGGCGACCATTCACCTGATCTGGGGTGCCGAATGTTGCGGGGGTCGAACATCACCTGGCCTGAGGGGTCCAAGATGGCGTCTGAATCAAGAGGAGGCTCTGCGTCCGCAGTGTCCTCTGCATCTCCTCTCTGGGCCGCACCCAGTAGGGTCTCTCGCATGAAAGCGGAGACCGATTTCTCGTCCGAGCCCCATGCGTCGTAGTCCGAGTCAGAGGCGTCAGCTTGCCATTCATCCAGCACTGACATGGACTGTGCGTCCTGCTCTTCGTCTGAAGAGTACTCCTGACGCGGGGCCGGGGTGTGTAATTTGGCAGACTTGCGCTTGGCAGGTGCCTTACCCTTAGGCGGTTTGGGTGTGTAGTCTTCGCCTTTGTCATGGCGTTTTTTAGGGTGGGAATCCTCCCGTGCCTGGTGGTCGGACAACTCAGAATCCGATTCGTGGCGTGGACGTCTGCGTTTAGGTACGTCAGGAGCCGAAGCTCGGGCCTTGGAGAGTGCCTTCTCCACAGAGGCAGCGACAGCTGCGTTAATCATGGCCTGGAAGTCCACAGGGACGTTCTGGGAATCTTCCATGTTAGGGTAGGCTTATAGGTCACTGAGAGGCACAGCAATGAATGGGCACCCAGGTCTTGATAGTAGGCGTAGGGTCAGATTTGGAAGTATGGTGGGAACAAGCCCAGAATAACCCCAGCAGGGTATAGTAGTGACCTTATAAACTGGGGCTCACCCAGTTAGAGAGAACTGCAACAGCTAGTCTCCCAGTAAGCAGCGTCTTTATAGTGGGGGCTCACCCCGGTTGCACAGGGTTGGTACCCTTAAGTGCAGGCCACAATAATAATAAACAGGCAGCAGCACTGACCTGACTGACCCAGCCACAGTATAGCTTGATAGAAGCAGATGAGGCACAGAGACTGAGTAGCAGGTTGAAAGCAGCAGATGGAGTGCAGGAGCAGGTAATCCTTCAGTCACAGGGGTGTCAGACACAAAAGGTGTGAAAACAGCAGCTTAGGAGGTAACAGCAAGTTAACACAGCCCCTAATGAGATGCACGAGGCAAAACTAAGATGGCCGCGAGAATCTCGCGATGTCCGCGATCCAAAATGGCGGCCGCGAGGTAGGCCGCAAGCCGGGGACTAAATTTTTGAGCCCGGCCGCGGGCGGAAGTGGGCCGGCGCGAAAACGGCCGCGAACAAAACCGGCCGCAAGGAGGAAGTCCAGGAGGGCACTCCAGGGTAGGGGGGCAGAGGGGGGACCTGGGGAGACCAAGGGGAAGCCCAGGGAGGGCCCCAAGAGGCACAGAGGGGCAGAAGGAGGCAGGAAAAACCCACAGAAAGCCTCTAGTCCCCCAGCCCTGGTATAGAACCAAGAAATAGAAGGAAAGGCTAAAACAATGATGATAAAGTATGTTGAAATAGCAAGGAATAAACAAGTATGACAATAAATGAATAACAAGTAATGACAATAAATGTATAAAGCTCCAGGGGAGCAAATATTCTGACCTGTCTGCGATGGAGCAGTAAAGAAAGAGGAAGTGTACAGGCAGCATGACCCTTATATACTATGCTGCTCAGTGATTTATTTGTTACTCTTTACGTTTTTCTTTACTGCTGTGGAGTTTAGTAAAGAGAGTTAATGCAAAATAGGAAGCCTCCTGTCATGTTATAAAATTCAAAGTTTGTTTCAAACGTAGGGCAAAGATATCTAAACGGAACATTTACATTTTAAAATTCAGTTTGAGTTCACCTTAAATTGCTGGCAATCTTTGCTTTTGTGAATTATTATCATTGTTATTGCCATTTATATAGCGTCAACAGATTCCAAAGCGCTTTACAATGTTAATTATCCTGTAAGTGCGTTCATCGGTAAAGAAAAACTCCTAGTAGAAAACATACTGGATGAATGCACCAGCCTACAGCTTAAAGTTACAAACATAAAACCCCAAAGAACAGACAAAAATTCCATCCAATGTGTTATGACAAGGTTTGGGCCAAGTCAAAAACTATTTCATAACATTGATTGATACCTTTCTCACCTATTTCAGATTTGTACTAATACTCTCTAAAGTTTCCCCCACCCTCTAGACACATATTAACAAAGCCTTACAAACTCATTAAGCTTATTTATCCTTTCACCTCACAATAACGTTTAGTATTGAAACTGCCTACTCCCTTTCCAGTCAAAGTAAAAAATTAATAAACAGTACCCCTATCTGGGAAAATCATGTGGACAAAACTAATGTTCCCAAGTGCCTGGGCAGTAAACCAGGCAAAAATATATCCAGAAATATACATATTCACACTTACAAACATACACATGTTTTCACAAACAAACACAAGGAAATTCACCCTATAGATTTATACTACACATTACACACTCATTTACATGAAAATACTATCAATTCACTTGTAGACATATTAAAATAGGCATCTTGAGTTGGTCTTATATATGCATTTAATTCATAACAAGATGGTTTTTACATATACCTACAAGTTCAGTATCTAAATTCACATGAAAAGATTTTATATTTAGATATAGAGCTCAATTTAAAATTCTGGTGCTTGCTTACAAGTCCCTACATAATGCTGCTCCAACCTACCTATCCTCCCTAATACACAAGTATGTCCCGTCAAGGCCCCTACGCTCTGCCAAAGACCTACGTATATCCTCTGTCCGTACTCTTACCTCTAATGCTCACCTCCAAGACTTCTCCAGGGCTGCACCTCCTCTGTGGAACTCCCTTCCCTTCTTCTTAAGACTTTCACCCAGTCTCCACTCATCATTGAAACTCACTTCTTCAAGAAAGCATATCAATTAAACTGTTAGCAGGTTTTTATCCCCCACCCCCCATGACTCCTCTCCTGCAACTGTCAAAATGACCTAATAAGACCTTAGTGAATACTTTTCTAACAACCTCTCGAGGTCTGCACTGTTCCTGTGGAACTCGCTTCCCTCCTCCGTTAGATGCTCACCCAGTCTCCACTCCTTCAAAAAATTGTTAAAAACCCACTTCTTCATAAAAGTGTATCAATTAAACTGTTAATAGCTCCTGACTGATTCCTCTTCTGCAACTGTCACTAGTCTAATACTATCCTTACCTTTTTGTGTCATTCTACCCCACTCCCTCTAGAATGTAAGCTCATTGAGCAGAGCCCTCCACCTCTCTGTTCCTGTACATCCAGTTGTCTGGTTACAATTACATGTCTGTTAGTCCACCCATTGTACAGCGCTACGGAATCTGATGGCGCTATATAAATAATAAAATAATTATAATAAATCATAAATGCTGGCATGTCCAGTTTATATGCACGGTACATGGTTTTCTGTTTTCAACAATAATTTATATATCTATAATTTCCAGTTGATATTGGTCATGAAGATATAGGTTTATACCTGAGGGGGAATTCAGCGCTAGTAGTTTACTGGCACAGTTCAAGAGGCAGCTCAATCACCGAATCTGGGGTCTCTCTTGTCCGGTGGGGAAAAATTTCAAAAAAACAGGGTGTGATGATATGTCATTTTGTTTGTGACATCGCTAATGTTAATTGATTAACTGTACTGTTCTACCTTAAATACTTAATGTGTTGGTTCACTTAAAATCTTGTCATGTAACCTGGAACAGGAAATAGGTCACAGGTTATAGTTCAGTTATGAAGGAGAGAATGACAATAAAGAGATCCTGGTTAAGCTCCTGAATCCTCTCTCAGTATTTTATGTCAATACAACACAAGAAGGGTGGTGTAGGGCCAAATATGTCCTTAAGAATATGTAGAATAATAGAGATAACACTAATAGTGCAGTATGTCACATACAATGGGAAAAGGGTGATAAAAATAATTTACTCACGCTTTTTGGGAGCTTAGGTGCAGCTCCAACTTTTGCGCTTGGGCGGAATGATCCCCGCCTAGGGATATAATGTGGTCATGGGTCTGTGAATAATCCTTCTTTCAGTTGATTTCCTCGTCAGTATATACAAGGGAAAAAAACTGAAGACGATATAACGTAGTATGTCAGACCAAAGTATAAAATCATATAAGAAATATGCACTCACATATTTTGGAGCCAGACCGTCGGCTCCCCAAATAGAGGGTGGAGTGGTATAATCCCCACTGTAAGGATATAAACAGTGGTGGTATTTCTCTGTATATAAATGTAAAAAAGAAGAAAAACACAATTCTGTATAACTTTGATGTTGGAGTGAAAATATTAAATATATAAAAGCCGTACTCACATGTAGTGGAGCAAAGTTAGGTTTGCTCAATCTAAAAGGTGTAGGTGGTTTTGTGTCTCCACCAAGGATCTGGGTGTTCACGAACCCAGCAGCAATCAGTATGGTCCGATAAAAAAGTACTTTTTATTTATAAAAACAAAAGTATGTATCAATAAAAAAATATAATAAAATAAACTGGCAAAAAATAGTATAAAATATACTTGTAAAATACACTAACATGTTTTAATAACAAACTGGCTTTATCAATAATGTTGATAAGTTTGCTGCCTTAGTGCTGCCAGTGGGCTGTAGTGGTTATGGTACTTGGAGTGTTCCTTTAAGGGCAGGGCCATTCCTATGGAATGTCCAATTTGACTCTTCCTAGCCTCCAATCCTTTAAGAAGTCACTTAAATTGTGTCTCTATAAGAAAGCTTATCACTCTTCTGAGTAACCTCTCTCATTACAGTCCTCATGGGCCTCGACATCAAATATGTGCTTCCACAGTCCGTTACATTGTCTCACATTGCAGTCTATCAGGGTTATTCACTGTGATGAACTGAACCTCGTCACGGGTTCTTGGAGGGGCCTGCTGGCCAAGCTTTTGCCTCAGGACTATGGGCCCTGCAATATACCTTGCCCAATGCACTTTAAAAGGCTCTGTTCATGTGAGTTATGTACTTTTGTACTCCAGACAGAGAGACCGACCGTTAGTCCTGATTCCCTGGAACTGTTTTGGGAATAGAACCATGTGCACGGTCGGGCAAAAATAAGACTTCCAGGAAATTCCTGAACCCCTGAACTGATCTGGGTGATTTTTGGATATGTTGGTCACCCAGACCAGGGCTATCAGGGCATGTAACTTTTGTGGGGGTTTCCATGTGTTTTGGGGGTACTTTTGGGATGTTATTAAAATGTATGTTTTCTGTGCTTGGAGATAATTGAGTTTAGTACAGTTCCTGACTCAATTATCTTACAGGCACAGGGTAGGGATTATCTGATTTTGTATGGGAGTGTCCTGGACCTGAGAGCCAATGCGATTGTGTATGTTTTTCTCCTGTGGTTTACTCTCAGGTCCAGGGGGGAGTGCTTTTTGCATGGGGACTGTCATAAAAGGCCATTTGTGGCTTCCATTAAAGGGAGATTCGTTTTACCCTTCATGAAGTCTAGGCTCATGTTTGGGGGATTGGAGAGCTATATTCACACTCTGGGGATTGCTGTAATCACTATACTGCCTTGGATCAGAACACTTGCTCTTATAAGAGCTGGTCTTGGGTCCAGGGTGGGTGGAAGACAGCGAGACCCCAACCAAGCTGCGGCAGTTTGTGGGGTTTACAGTGGTTATGGTGTTCCAGTGCAGTGCTTATGGTGCTTGCAAGTACTAGGAAGCAGCGATTGATGGAGGTACCCGGTCGGGGTGCCCGGCGGTCCGTCACATTCACTAAAGTGAGAACTAAATTCAAAGTAAATTTTAAATTAAAGGTCAACATAGTTAAACAGGAAAAATTCAATTCAGCTGCTTTGTCTTTAAATTTGAAATTCACAGTTTCAATTCTCTTTGAATTATCACTTTAGTAAATAACCCTGCACAACACTTTTACAAGTTTAGCTAGACTAGCATAAAACCAGCTCTCCTCCACTCTGACACATTATTCTTCCTCATGTATTTCCTTCAGTCCCATTGCTCTTGGAATGAAGGTTCGTTTGAGTAGGGTTGTCTTCACTTGTGTCTGTCAACATTATTTTATCTCTTAATTATTTGCTGCTCCATATCCCAAGTGTATAACAGTAAAGAGCAGCGGAATATGATGGTGCTGTATATATAATAAATATAATAGTTGTATTTGAATTAGTTTTGGGGGGAAAGAAAGGGCAAGTGAGAATTCTGTGTCTATTGGCAACAGAGATGTAAATCCAAGAGGTGATATGGAGAGACAGAGGGAGTTCCACGGAGGAGGTGGAAGTGACACTGAGAGAGGTGGATGTCAAATAGACTGAAATAGTGGCAGAAGAAGAGCATGGCAAAGAGGACAGGAAGAGTTATGGAGAGTGACATTGAGTAATAAAGGTAGAAAAGGAGAGTGAAATTACATAGCTTTTCTGACTTGTAGAGTAAGTACCGACTGATCCTTAGATTGATAGACTAATACTACAACTAAGAGAGTGTAGATCCAGAAGTAAAAGAAGCCGAGACTGACACTAGAAAAAAGAGATCAAATGGAAAAAAAGAAATATCCAGGTAAACCTGAGGTTTCTTCTCTGAGGTTTCTTCTAACAGGCAATCTTTGTTTGAAACAAGGAAGTGGAGACAATGTTTCAGCTCCTCTCTGAGCCTTTATCAAGGCTCAGAGAGCCTTTTACTCTTGCTTTTTTTGCAAACCGCTAGAAAAAAACAGAGACACGGACTGTTACAAAGCACAAGAGCTGCTATCACTCTTTGTCTTGTCATTAATAGGGATAAGTTGTGGCAGTCTTATACCCCACAACATCGGCATCCCTTGAAGCAAAATGCCAGTATGTGGGGTAAAAAGGCCTATCACCAGTGATGCGTATCATTTCACTGGTGCTGCCCAAATGAGATCGGATCTGTCCAAAAAATGTTCAGGTCAACCTGACATAAATGCCAGGCTGTCCTACAAAGGTGGACCATAGAGAGAGTACAGTTTCATTGCTCTCTGCAGAGTCCAAGTGCTCTGAGCTTAGCGCAAATAACGCACTCATCTTACACTTTTAGGGGACTGTTAACTGGTATCCCCAAAAGTGGGACACCAAGTAACAAAGTTGGGATGGCAGGACAAGGACCATGAAATTGAGACTCTCCCACCTAAATCAAGATTGTCGGGAGGTGCAGAGTTTGGCGAGCTATATCATATGGAATTAGCAGTCATAAATTAAATTTAGCATTTAAAGAGATTGCAGTGATGTTGCAAGAGTCATTCAGCATGGTCATTTTGTTTATATTTCACTTGGTTGCTCTGCTTCAAAAGGTGCATTTTTTGTTTTACATTTCTAAATGTTGGACATCTATGGGTTATGACAGTCAAGTATCTATGTTGTAACTTATAGCAAGCAACTCAATCTCCTATTCTGCTGTTGTAGTGTATGTCTCTGTCAATCTCTCCCCTTTTTCAGTCACTGTCACTGTACTCTGCTTTTCAGTCCTCTGTTTTACCGAACACAAATATATACATTGTCTGTTTGAAAGGCCAGACTATTTTCCAGTGTTTAGGGTAGGTAAGTGGAAATATATTATTCAAAATGTTTGAAAAATTAATGTGGTGATCAGGTAGTCTGAGAAATAAAGGCTTGTGGGAATCTGCAAATCTTCAATATTGGTCACAAAACCATAGCAACATTCCTTCTTGAAATTGATGTTACCAGGACACTGAGCTTTTTTTACATACATAAAAAAGGTGATGTACATATATATCTATATAAAAACTTAAAAGTAACGGCCAGCTGTAGCTCATCCTCAGAGGTATCACAGACACAACCTAATTCAACAACATAACCTTTCTCGCAGAGAAGGACTCTTGCAGACACACTTTTAGGCAATCTGTCAGCCTTTTACAAGCAGCTAGAGGGTTAAATAAAAGCTCAGCGGTGTGATGGTTAACCATGTAAAGATTGGCAAGCATTTGCAAGCCAGCACCCATATTTAAAAAATAAATAAAATAAAAAAAGGACGTGGGGGTCAATATGGCTCCCATATTACTTTAAGGGAGTGTGACGAGACCAATCTCGCCACTGTGCATTGGAGGAGCCTGGTTGCCTGCCTGCTGCCTTTTGACTATGGACCGGCATTTAAATATCCTATTTTCCTATGCAGAAAGGTCTATTCATGTTTTCTGCCCTGGCGTTCGGTAGATTCTCGGATTTACTGAATGAACTCATATAACCCAGATAGCTATGCCATGGAGCCTATTCATGTAATAAAAGACTTTGGCTCCATGGCAATTGAACTGTATGTGTTTGTGGTCTGAGCGCCATTCAGTATTGTGCGCTCAGACCTAAGCTATCTGGACATATGTTGCATGTCTGTATTTTATGTCATAAATGTAACCTTTTGTATTTTATTGTATTTTACTGTCTTTTTGCTGCCATGTGTTCAATGGAGTTTTGCCTCTGTCTTTGGAGATAATTTGATTACTTCCCAATTATCTCCAGGATAGAAGACTCTGTGGAACTGGTTTTGGGCAGAAAAGCCATGCTTCCTGTGGTCACAAAGGACTACGATCTATCTTTTGAACCACTGGACCAATTTGTATGATTTTGACGTATGTTTGTATTTGGAGTATGCTGATTCTGAAAATGTAAGTGTGAATGTGATGCATACTTTTCAAGTTATGAATAATGTGAACATTTTTTATTTCTCTGCATGTGCTAAATTACATTACCCATTGTGTAAGGTAATTGAATCACAAGCAGAGGGGAGGAATTTGTGTGGGAGTGTCTGAGTTTATTGTATGTGTTTATTGGCTGTGTTCCAAAACCCTGTGGGTGGTACTAATGTGTAAGAATGTGTACATAAGCACAATAAACCCACAGCTCTGACTGTTCACTGCTTGACCCTCAACACGGAGCCTTGTCTCGTTCTTGGGGGGATTTACTGTATGCTGTTCCAGTTTGACTGCTAGGAGTGTAAACCTATTCGTATGGTTTTACCTATTCGGCTGTTTACAGCATTCGTATGGTTTCCTGTTCGGCGGATTGGTGTTCTGCAGGAGCTGTGCCTGTGTCTCTGGAAGGGGAAGATCTACTAACCCTTTTATGCTGAGGGTGCCGTTACAGGGAGGTTCTATAAACTTATCTTATGTTGTGGGGGCATTTCTACTAAACAGTGTGCAGTCAGTGGCTGATTGTGTGTGTTTAGTCGTTCAGTCGTTTCCGACTCTCCGTGATGGACCATAGTACGCCAGGTATATCTGTCAGTCACTGCCTCTCTGAGCTCCAACATGTTCATGGCTTCAGTGACCTCATCTATCCATCTCTGTCGTCCCCTTCTTCGTGTGCCTTCAATCTTTCCCAGCATCAAAGAATCCTGCCTTCTCATTATATGGCCAAAATATTTGAGCTTCAGACTCATGATCATAGCTTTCAGTGAACAGTGTGTCTTGATTCCTGTATTACAGATTTATTGGATCTTCTTGCAATCCAAGGCATTCTAAGCAGTTTTTTCCAACACCACAGTTCAAAGGCATAAATTCTACGACGCTCAGCCTTCTTTATAGTCCAACTCTCACATCTGTATGTTACTACTGGGAATACCATAGTTCTGACTAGTTACATAGTTACATAGCTGAAAAGAGACTTGCGTCCATCAAGTTCAGCCTTCCTCACATATGTTTTTGCTGTTGATACAAAAGAAGGCCAAAAACGTAGTCTGAAGTGCCTCCAATTTTACAACAAACTAGGAAAAAATTTCTTCTTGACCCCAAAATAGCAGTCAGATGTCTCCTTAGATCAAGCAGCTATTAACTCACTAATTAGAAATTATATCCCTGTATGTTATGTTTTTGCAAGTATTTATCCAATTTCAGTTTAAACATCTGTATGGACTCTGATAAAAACACCTCTGCAGGCAGAGAATTCCATATCCTTATTGCTCTTACTGTAAAAAAAAAAACCTTTTCTTTGTCTTAGTTTAAATCTATTTTCTTCTAGCCTGAATTGTGTCCTATGGATAGCCCTGTTTATGAATAGATTTCCCCTCTGAGGCGAGATTTTAATTTGTAACCTTTCTTCGTAACTAAAATACTCCATTCCTTTCATCAATTTTGTAGCTTGTCTTTGCACTGATATCCTTCTGTAGAACAGGTGCCAAAAATTGCACAGCATATTCAAGATGTGGTCTTACCAGCAATTTATAAAGAGGCAAAATTATATTTTCATCCTGAGAATTTATACACCTATTTATACATGAGAATTCCTTACTGGCCTTAGCAATTGCAGATTGACAGTGCATATTGCTGCCTAATTTGTTTATAACAATTCCCAAATTCTTCTCTTGTGTGGTTATCCATAATTCACTACCATTTAGGGTGTAAGTTGCTTGTGCATTCTTGACCCCGAAGTGCATAACTTTGCATTTCTCTACGTTAAATTTCATCTGCCATTTTAGTGCCCAGTCCCCGAAACTATCCAAATCCCTCTGCAGCAAAGCAATATCCTGCTCACATTTTATTACTTTACAAAGTTTTGTGTCATCTGCAAACACTGAAATATGGCTTTCAATGCCTATTTTAAGATTATTTGTAAATATGTTAAATAGAGGCGGTTCCAAAACAAAACCCTGAGGGACACCACTTACCACTTTTGTCCAGCCTGAACATTTACCCTTAACGACAACTCGTTGTACTCTATCCTTAAGCCAATGTTCTACCCAAGAACAAGAATAATCATCTAGACCAATTTCTTTTAGTTTGAAGACTAACCTATTGTTAGGAACCGTATCAAATGCCTTGGCAAAATCCAAGTAGATCACATCCACTGCTCATCTATACTTCTACTTACTTCTTTGTACAATGCAATTAGGTTAATTTGACATGACCTATGTTTCATAAAACCATGCTGATTATTGCTAAAAACAAGGTTCTTCCCAATGAATTCCTGAATATTATTTTCACAGTCACAGAAGTTAAGCTCACAGGTCTATAATTTCCAGGCAAGGATTTTGAACCCTTTTTAAATATAGGAACAACATCTGCCTTCGTCCAATCCTCTGGTACAATACCTGAAACAAAAGAATCATGAAAAGTCTGTCGGTCACCAGTTGTACTATGCCCTTAGAAAAGTATACCCCATTGCCAGAGGACTGTACATTAATCAATATGGATCTACCAGAATACCTGAGGCATAGACTTGTGACTCGAGATCATGAGAGCTATGTGTGAAAAGAAGTGCTCTGTAGGGAATCTTTCTTGTGCGAAGAAGTTGTAAGCTCAGTTGCAGATCTGTTCACCATGTGTGAGTACTCTTTGTGAGGTCTGGAAATATCGACAATAAGGAGCCATTCAAAGCTCAGTGGGGTTTTCCCATGAAGACCTTATCCTGGAGCGCTTGGAAGCGGATAAAGAGATCTGCTGATGCCGACACCGGTGCCTCTGCTGGCTTCGGAAGCCAAAACAACCCATCTAACTTCATGTTTTTTGCCTGCTCAGGTAGCAGCAGGGTGACAAATAGGCATCTGATGACGTGGGGTAAGTCAAAGAGGCCCACCGACTCGGGCACACCCCAGAACTTGAGGTTTTACCATGTGTGCCACAGGTCCTCTAGTGCCTCAAACCTGTCGGAGATAGCGGATTGCTGGTGCTGGAGGTTTGCCACCTGTTGTTGCATCACTGTTAATTTTGTGTTGTGGATGCTTTAGGAGGCCTCCAGCAGCATTATCTTAGAGGTGGCATTCTCAATGGTGCCCTTGTAGTAGGCCATATCGGACGCAATGTTTTTGCATAGATCAGCCAGCATTTGTTGGAGCAGGTCCGCTGTTACTGGGACCCCTGATTCTGCAGAGGTCGTCCATGAGTGCCATCTCATTCCATGTGATCTGTTGGGAACTCAGCAGCAGATCACCTATGTCCCTGCTGGAAGGCCCCTTGTCAGCTTTCTATTTTTTAGTTTTGATCTTATAGAATACTGGTTGTGAGGTGTGTGACCACATACAACCCATTTTTCATCGGTGTAAACATGTAGCTGTTAGCTGCCATTATTGTTTAATTTTTGTTATTTTTTCGTAGCTTTTTAAACGATTTGGTTCTTTTTTAAAAAATTTTTCCATTCTGTGGCAAACCTAGCCACTTGGACTATATCAAGAGACTGTACCTTTAAGGGTTGCCTGTATGTCGGTGGGGATATGTGTTCAACTATGTACAATGTATGCTGGCTGTAATACCTTGAATTGCCTGTGTTTGCTATCCGCCGAACGCAGATAGCTATTTGTATTGGTTTTCCTTTCGTTTCACGAACGGCACTTTGGCGGGCCATTCGTGAACCGAAAACACTACAGATAATAGCCCACACAATTAGAGGCGTGTGGCGCTTGTTAACCGATTGCAACAATGTTGCAATCGGTAATTAGAGGCTCTCCTGGGTGGCCGCCGTTCGACTACCGACCATGCGGCGGTCGGCCATCTTGGATCCTTTGTTCCCTCAGCGGTGTTAGGTCGTCGAGCGCATGGTACTAAAAACGGCTACTCGACGGCGCGAACACCGCTGAGCCTCCAGGACGTTCGGGAGTTCCGGGCCGTTCGGTATTTCATTCCCTGGAAGGCAATCGGTCTTTTTAATATGTTTCTCAATAAATGTGTTTTTCGTGCGGCGTTCGGTTGTTTTAGCTGGGATCTGAGCGGTAATCTCACGAATGATGCGCTCAGACCCCAGAACGTCCATTCGTGCAAATAGACTGCATATTCGAAAAGTTATGTATTTTAATATAAATTGTCGGTTCTGCTGCACAGAGGGATAATCCACTTAACAGTATATTCCAGGAGGAGGATCCCTCTCGTGCAGCAGTGCCTGATGAGAGAAATGCTTTGTACTGTAAGTCCCCCATGTAGTCCCCTCTGGGAATGTCCCTGGGAAGGGACTCAGGAAACCCCTTGCATGGGGACTTGTATAAATTGTGAAGCTGAATTAAAAGACCTCAGTTGACTCTCAGAACTGTGTTTCGTCCGGTTACTGGGAGATTTGGGATATTGCCTTGTTGTTTCCAGCGCTTGACTGTGGATTACTTCCTGAACCAGCGGAATTCGTGGATTTAATATTGGTGTTCCGCTACACATTTGAATATTTTGTTGTTTTGTAAACATAATATAGAAAGGGGAGAGGGGTACAGAAGGGAAAGGGGGAAGGGAGGAGGGGGTAATCTGTCTCACATACATATACCATGAAGTTCAGTAGTAGCAATATGAACAATATACAACAAGCATATTAAAACACACACAGGTGTCTCAGAAGTGGGCTTCTGGGGATCTAGAAATTTACAATCTATGTACAGGGCGCCTGTATAGGCGACTTTACGTCTTAATATAGCATACCATAAGCTAACATAATAAAACAACATAACGGTGGTCCTGATGGAACTCTGAGTTATCGATATTCTGGGGTTTACTTACTAAGTTGTTTTGTTATATCCACTGTCGACTGCTTCATCATCATTGGTTACAATAGGTTATTTGGTTACAGTAGATTGTTTGTTTGAACCTGATCTCCATGAGCTCCACAAGTCCCAAGACTGCAGGAACATCTTAGAATGGGTGAATATATATGTAAAGCCCCTTTCACAATTGTATTGAGTGCCCATGTCAGTAAGTATATCTAGGAGTTTAGGGTGGGGGGGGGAGGGATTTCCACGCTCTCGCTATCATCCTCTGTGCAGTTAAGATCTCAAGAAGTGACAATTTTTGTTTACATCTGGGCATTGAGCTGTGCAAGTCCAGTAGTAAATATATCCTAGCTTCCAGTTTAAAGGTAGTGTGCCTAAGTTCTGTGATTAAGTCATGAACGTCACGCCAAAAGTGAGCCAATTGCCCACAATCTCACCATATGTGGAGCATGGTACCTTCCTCTAGGCCGCATCTCCAACCATTGGAGGGGGTATTAGGAAAACATTTTTTGCAATTTGGGGGGGAACTAGATACTACCTGTACAGTACTTTGCGTTCCTGCTCAGTTTGCATTGAGGGTTTAATTAGGCCTTTCAGGGAATTAATCATCTTGTCCCATTCTTTGGGAGTGATGGAGCAGCGGAGATCAGTCTCCTACTGTATAGTAAGTTTCGTTTAGGAGAAGGGTTTACAATCGAGATCATCTGATAAGATTTGGAGATCGGTTTACATTTATATGGTAGCATTGCATTGATACACATTTGTTCCCATGCTGTAACTAAAGTAGAAGGTGCCACCTGTGGGTGTATCTGAAGTGGGGCTTTCTTTAGAAAGGATCTGAGTTGTAGGTAGGAGCAGGGAATACTGAAGAGTTAATGATGCAAAATCCATCATGTCTTGTGAGAGATACAGGTGGTACATATGTGTAATCCCTTTATCTAGCCAAGACTTTGCATAGTATACAGAATGTTAGAGCTTTATTTGGGGTTGCTAAGGAGGTACCTCCTGTTCCACACAATTTGTATATATATTTATCCTACATTTTTAGGAATAGTTGAATCTGCAGGGAGGTGGAGAGGGGTATGGATGGACGTGAATGTTTCAGTAGCCACATCAGACTGTTAAGTCATATGGGCCGATCGTGTGTTCTTCTAGGTATACCCATTGCGGCTTAGAGTCGCGTAATAAAAGAAGTATGTTGGTGGCTAATACCACAGCACGATTACTTGGGACTACTAGCCCTCCCTTTTTAAAGGGCGCCTGCAACAGTTTTTGAGCTACTCTGGGTCTCTTTCCTATTCATATAAACTTGTTCTGGTCTGTCAGTATGGTCCTAAAATAAGAGTGAGGAAGGGGTAACGGCAGTGTACGAAACAGATATTGTAATCTGGGGAGGATAGACATTTTGAATGTCACTATAAAATCAGACAATGTTAGGAAGAGGGGTAACCATTTCTGAAGTAGTTGGCGGAACTTATTCCATATTTGAACATAGTTGGCTGGGAAAAGGTCAGTGGGGTGTTTTGGTGACAGTCAAACCTAAATATTGGTTCTCCAATCAAATGTGTACTTTGACTTTAGTGATGTCACCACAGCAGATGGAATCAGCAGATGGAATCCCAATGGACATTGCTTGAGTTTTACTGGAATTGAGGGAGTAGTACGATACTCTTCCATAGCTAGCAATAATTTGGGTTAATGCTGGAAGGGATTCTTGGGGATCAGTGAGGTACAGGAAAATGTCATCTGCAAATGCGCTAAGTTTGATTTGCTTGCCACCCACAGAAACTTTGTGGATCAGTGGGTGGTCCCTGGTGCATTGTAATAGGGGTTCAAGAGCCAATACATAGAGGTGAGGGAAAAGGGGGCATCCTTGCCTCGTTCCATTGTGTATGGGAAATTGGGGGGGGGGAGAGAGGAAATTTCCCTGTATAACCCATGCTTTAGGAAATGAGTATAGTGTAAAGATCAGCATGACAACCTGGGAGCGGAAACCATAAAGCTCTAATGAGGTCCCAGTTGAGGTGGTTGAACGCCTTTTCCACATCTAGTGCCACATAATAGACCACCCCGGCCAGCTCCCGCATCTGCTTGAGAACCAAGGACAGCTTTCTTGTGTTATCGAGACCTTGTCTGTCGTCTACAAAACCTGTTTGGTCATCGTGAATAAATTGTGGGAGCACAGGGCTCAACCTGTTGGCTAAGATCTTTGCATAAATCTAAGCGTCCGTATTGAGGAGTAAGATAGGGCGGACATTTTTACAGTTATCTGGGAACTTGTCGGGTTTGCATATTGTAACAATTGTAGCTACCAACATTTCTGGTGGTAGATTTCCCTTTTCTGTGGCTCAGTTATGCACTTTAAACAAATAAAAGTCAAGTATATCAGCACATTTTTTATAGTACTGGTTGGAAAATCTGTCAGCTCCTGGTGATTTGCCTAGGGTAGGTTGTGTATCAATGTGAGTAATTCATCTAGTGTTATAGGTTGGAGTAGTTTGCTCTTTTGTTCTTCTCTAAGTTGGTGTAATAAAACTGGGTCGAGAAATCCATCAATATCACTTGCTGTGGGTGTATGGGTGTTCTTGTTTAAGTGTAGGTTATATAGGTTGGAGTAGCCAATTTAGCCAATTCTGTACTAATCTCCTGGGGGGCCTATACAGTCCCTCCCTCCTTCTCCGTGGAGCAAAGCAATTCTGCGTTGTGCTTGTTTGGCCCTTAGTCTGGCCGCAAAGGCCTTAGTTGCTTTACCAGTCATGTGGTAACTAGTGGCACAAAGCTTTTGCAGAAAACGTTTGGTTTTATTAGTTGTATTTGTTTGAGTGTTGTGTTTAATTTGCAAAGCAAGTCTGGGGATGGGTGTTGTTTGTTTTGGGCGGATAGAATTGCCAACCTTTTGTGGCTGTCATTGAAGTCTTTTTTGCGTTTATTTTTGGTGTAGGAGGCTTGGTGGATTAGTAACCCTCCTGGCTACTGCTTTGTGTGCTGACCACACGCATCTCATACTTCACCTAACGAGTTCGTTTAAAATTATTCTATAAGCTCTGAGAGCATGGAATCAACACATTTTTTATCCATAAGAAGTGATTTGTTAATATGCCATGTGCCTTTCCCTTTGAACTGGTAGATATTGTGGAACTCTAAATACACCGGGCTGTGGTTTGACCAATGTTACAAGCTGACATCTAGTCCAAGGATATACCATCCCAGAAAAAGGTATCTATTCTAGTGTACATGTTATGGACTCTTGAGTGGAATGTATAATCCCTTTCTTGCAGGTGGAGTGTCTTCCATACATGATATAGTCATAACAATGAAAGTACCTTGTCAATATTCTTACAGATAGAGGTTATGTGTCTTAGTCTCGGCTTGGTAAAGGACGCTGTAGTGTCTAATAAGGGGGATTGTATGAAGTTAAAATCCCCACCGCATATCAATCCACCTTTCTTGTTATACAGTTACATAGTTTCATAGCTGAAAAGAGACTTGCGTCCATCAAGTTCAGCCTTCCTCACATTTGTTTTTGCTGTTGATCCAAAAGAAGGCAAAAACAAAACATTTTGAAGCACTTCCAATTTTGCACCAAACTAGGAAACAAAATCCTTCTTGACCCCAAAATGGCAGTCAAATTAATCCTTGGATCAAGAAGCTATTACCCTACATTGAAAAATGATATCCTTGAATACTCTGTGTGACAGAACCATCTGTGTGCCTATGCGTGGTGGATTCGTCTGTTTTGCCCTCCTTTCGTGGAAATGGCTGTTTCTATAGCCCATGTATACGAAAGACCAGCGGTGTTTGGCAGTGATTTAATTTTACTAAAAACTTACACTTTTTCTGCCGAACACTGCTGAAACAACGGGTCGCCCTGCTCCATCGACGAAAGCATGCGAACACCGGCCGTTCGGGAGTTTGGAATCACACGAAAAGACTTAACCCAGATAGCCTTCCCATGGAGTCAATCGCATACCGAAAGACTGTAAGAACTTTGACTCCATGGCGATTGAACTATGCGTATGGGATCTAAGCGCTATTCGCTAATAATATGCCCTCAGATCCAGGCTATCTGGGGATATGTGATACGAATGTGAAATATTCGGTAGTTGTGGAATTATATATTTTTGTGTGTTTCCTGGCATTTTATTTAAGATGGCGATTTGTCTTTGTCCTGGAGATAATTGAATTACTTCTCAATTATCTCCAGGGCAGAGGGGAGGAAACCATATTGCATTGTGGGAAAAGTTTACATCTGTATGTCTGAAATGTCCCCATGTCTATCTGTCATTTCAGTCTCCCATTTGGTCCCCTAGGGGAGTGTCCACCAAGTGGGAGACCTGCATAAATACGGGCGGGTAGCCCACAGTAAAGCCAGATAGTGTTTGACCCTCAATGCGGAGCTTTGTCTCGTTATTGGGGGGATGTATTACCGACGACTAGAGACTGATTGCTGGAACCGAAAGCCGCTTGGTGGATATCTTTGTTCGGCGGTTAGCGGCGGTTCGTGGATTTCTGTTCGGGAGTTTGGAGCCTTTCACGGATCCCGTTCGGGAGATTACCGCTTCCCCTGATGGTAGTTTGTATACTGCAGTCTATGCGAACGGAGTATTGATATTGCGAAGGGGGAAGGTTAACTAAATAGCGGTTTCTCTTAAAGACACCAGGGGTGTCTTAACACTCTGTTTTTGCAAGTATGCATCTAGTTGCTGTATGGACATCTGTATGGACTCTGATAGAACCACTTCATCAGGCAGAGAATTTCACATCCTTATTGTTCTTACAGTAAAAAAAAACCTTTTTTTTGTTTTTGCCTTAGACAAAATCTTATTTCTTCCAATCTAAACACATGACTTCGTGTTCTATGTAAAGTCCTGTTTGTGAATAGATTTCCACACAATGGTTTGTATTGGCCCTGGATATATTTGCATAATGTTATCAAATCCCCTCTTAGGTGATGTTTTTCTAAACTAAAGAGGTTTAAATTTGTTAACCTTTCTTGATAGCCATTCCTTTTAATAATTTTGTAGCCCACCTCTGCACTTTTTCTAGTGCCATAGTATCCTTCTTTAGAACAGGTGCCCAAAATTGCACAGCATATTCAAGATGTGGTCTAACCAGTGATTTATAAAGAGGCAAAATGATATTTTCATCCCAAGAATGAATGCCCTTTTCAATGCATGACAATACCTTGCTGATTGACATTGCACATTGTTGCATGGATTGTTGTCTATAACAATTCCCAAGTTCTTTTCGTGTGTTATCTCTAATTCGCTTCCATTAAGGGTATACGTTGCTTGTGCATTCTTTATGCCGAAGTGCATAACCTTGCATTTTTCAACATTAAATTTCATCTTCCTCTTGAGTACCCAGTCCCCAAGTCTATCTAAATCCCTCTGCAGCAAAGTACTATCTTGTTCACATTGTATTACTTTACAGAGTTTTGTGTCATCTGCAAAAACTGAAACATGGCTTTCAATGCTTTTTTTCAAGATCATTTATAAACATGTTAAATAGAAGGGGTCCCAGAACAGAACACTAAAGGGACACCACTTATCACCTCTGTCCAACTTGAAAATTTACCATTAATGACAACTCTTTGTACTCTATTTTTAAGCCAATGTTCTACCCAAGAACAAGCATTTTCATCTAGACCGATTTCCTTGAGTTTGAACACTAATCAATTGTGTGGACCTGTATCAAATGCCTTGGCAAAATCCAAATAGATCACATCCACTGCAACACCCTGATCTATACTTCTACTTACTTCTTCGTAGAATGCAGTCAAGTTAGTTTGACATGACATAAATAGCATAATAATAATAATGACCTGTGCTTCTCAAAGAATTCTTGAATATTATCCCCTAATAACCTTTCAAATACTTTTCCAGCCGCAGAAGTTAAGCTCACAGGTCTATAATTTCCAGGCAAGGATTTTGAACCCTTTTTGAATATAGGAACGACATCTGCCTTCCTCCAATCCTCCGGTACAATAAAACAAAAGAATCTCGAAAGATTAAAAACAGAGGTTCGCTTATTTCTACACTTAATTCCTAAGTACTAGTGGATGAATACCGTCAGGCCCTGGAGGTTTGTTTGATTTTAACATTCTTTAGCTGCAGCACCTTGTCTTGAGTTAACCAAACAATTTTTCAGCAAATTTTTAGCAGAAATCATTTGCACATCTATTGCCATGGGTTCTTCCTTAATATATACGGATGAGAAATAGTTATTTACATTTTCTGCCTTTTCCTGGTCTTCATTAACTAACACCCCATCCCAGTGTTTAGGGTACCTACACTTAAATTTTTTGTTTTTTTAGAATTTATGTACTTAAAAAATTATTGCGGTTGATTTTGCTCTCTTTGACGATTTTTTTCATTTTGAAGTTTAGTGAATCTAATCGCCGTTTTGCACACATTATTGGCTTCCTTATATCTTTTATAGGATGCCCCTAATTTGTCTGATTTAAATGCTTTAAATGCCCTTTCTTATTTTTAATCTCTTGTTTTACTTCTCTACCAAGCTGCATTGGTTTCGATTTGTTTCTTTTAATTTTATTACCCAATGGTACATACTGAGAAATGTACCTTTCTAATATTTGTTGGAAGATGTTCCATTTATCCTCAGTGTTCTTTTCACTAAAGAGTTTATGCCAGTCAATATATTGTAAAGCTGCCCTCAACTTATAGAAATTGGCCTTTTAAAAATTATATGTTTTAGTATATCCCATATGCTTTTGTTTTTTTTTAGTTTATTTCAAAGGACACTATATTGTGATCACTATTTCCCAAGTGCTCTCCTACTTGAATGTTGGTCAAAAGATCAACGTTATTTGTTAGAACCAGGTCCACATAAGCATTCTTTCTTGTTGGTCTTGTATAAGTTGCGACATGAAGGTGTAATTTAACAGGTTCAATTTCCTTTGCTGAACTACTAGTCCCTCTGTTCCAATTTATGTCTGGGTAATTAAAATCTCCAATAATTAATGGGTTACCCAGATTTGCAGCTATCCCAATTTGCTCTAACAGCTGTTCTTCCTCATCATTTTAACATATGCCAACCAATAGTTGATTTACCTTATTTTGCCCCAAGCAGATATTTACCCATAAAGCTTTCACATCACATTCCATTTGCTTAACATTTGGCTTTAACTCATGGTTGACATACAAACACACTCTACCACCTTTCCTGCTTTTGCTGTCCTTCCTAAATAGTGTGTATCCATTTAAGTTAACTACCCAGTCATGTGTCTCATCCCATCATGTTTCAGTTATGCCTATTATGTCATATTGTTTAGTGTATGCTATTGCCTCTAGTTCCCCCATTTTGTTATTTAGGCTCCTTGCATTAGTAAGCATACATTTAATATTATCATGAATCACTTTTTTGTAAATTATCAACATTACATACTGTGATGAACTGAACCTCGTCACTGGTTCTTGGAGGTTCTGGCAAGCCACTTACCCTGTGACTATGGCCCCTGCAATAGACCTGGCTAAAAAACTTTAAACAGGCTCAGTTAGTGCAATTGGGACTATATGGTTCATTTACCAAACAACCTCACGAACCAGAGACCACCCTGTAGCTTGTTCACACCTATTAACAACTTGGAACGTTTCTCACCACAGTGTTCTAAATGTTCGTCTTGGTGGCCACAATTCCTATGGACGAGGTTGGCCATCTTGTTTGCATGAACGCAGGCAATGGTGTTTGGACATGAATCTCCTGGAACTAAAATTGGATACAGAAACTTCCAAACATCGCTGGACTGCCATCATCGCCTGCATTCGGTTCTATACAAGTTAGAGGAGCATCGTCTGGATGAAGAGAACAAGCTCCAGGTTCTCACTGTGACATCCAGACAAAGTTCCCAACAGGGGATTTGAACCTGGGTGCTTTATGGTTCTCAGCCTGTGTTCCTGCCTCTGAGCCACTTCGGTTCTTGGTTTGGTCAATCATGGTCCAGCTGTAAAGTAGCACTGATTAGCCAGGTATAAGACACTGCCTCTCCCTGAGGGCAGTGTCAGTTCATTGACTCTGGTTCCTGTGTTAATATTCGTAATCCAGTGTTCTCCAGTTGGCTCCTGACCTTGACTTTATCCTGATTTCTGGCATCCTCTGACTTTGGCATACCCTTGACGATTCTCCTGCTTGTGCCCTTACCTGTACTGCGACTTGAAGCAATATCCTGCACAGCCCACATGCACAGACTCACAGGCCAGGTGAATTCTTACCTGACCACTTTGGCCTGTGTTTAATTGCAAGGGTAAGCATAAATCTCTGCCTACCGGACTCCCAACTAAGGTAAGCCGTGACAGTTTGGTAGTTTGTTCGTTTTCAAACTACCGAACTAGACTGACCGCAAGCCCTGATTCTCTGGAACTATTTTGGGCATGGGACCATGCCTGCGGTCGTTCAAATAAATGATTTCCAGAGAATTCTTGAACCCCTGAACAGATCTGAGTGATTTTTGGATATGTTGGTCACCCAGATCAGGGCTATCAGGGGATATGGTTTATGTATTTTTAGGGTACTTTTGGTGTGTTTTTAAAAAGTGTATTTTTTCATTGCTTGGAGATGATTGGATTAGAATTAGTACAGTTACTGATCCAATTATCTCCCAGGCAGAGGGGAGGGATTGTGTGCTTTGTGTGGGAGTGTCATGCCTTGTAACCTTATTGTTATTGGTCTGTGAAGTTGCAAATCAGTTCCCCACAAGATCCCTGTGGGCCTACCCCTTGCATGGGGATTGTCATATAAACCCAAGTGTGGCTCCCATGAAATTGAGATTCGTTTACCCATTCATGAAGTCTTGGCTCATGTTTGGGGGATAGGAGAACTACATTCATTCTGGGAATTGCTATATCACAATACTCCCCTAAGTATAATCACTAGCTCTTATAGGAGCTGTTCCTGCTACGCTCTCTGGACTAGGAAGGTATACCAACTGAAAGCTGGATCTGGGTCTTGGGCCCAAGGTGGGTGGAGGACAGCGAGACCCCAACCAAGCTGCAGTGGTTTGTGGGGTTCCAGTACAGTGCTTATGGTGCTCGCAAGTACTAGGAAGCAGCGATGGATGGAGGTACCCAGTCGGGGTGCCATCCCTCTTCTACTGAGCTAAAGCCTTTCTGTCCAATCTCCATTTTGTAGATAACTATGATCTTCTAGTTTAAAATCTCCTCCAACCTTTTAGCCATCCAATCTCCCAGAACTGTTCCCTTGGCTGTTCAAAGGAACAGCTTCCTCTAATACAGCTACTCCTGAGTTGATGCTTCCAACATCTTCACTCAAATGGGCAAATCATCTAGGTTGCACAAAATCAGGACTAGCTAGCCCTTTCCTCTTTCCTCTCTCCCTGCTTCCTCGCCCCACTGTCACCCAGCTACGTACCTGTTACCCATGTGTCTTATCTCCTCCCACTCCACTACCTTTCGCACTAAACGCTGCTCAGTGAGCCACAGACTCCTCTCAAGATTGCCAATCTCCCTCAATGTTGCGATTTGCTTCTCGAGATCTCCAATCTGAAACGGGTACATCCAGGCATGCATTCATGTAACAAAATGTGCATTGAGTCAAACCTGCAATCTTGCTAACACTCTTTTCCCCAGATACAGAACAGTAAAACAATTACATTGTTAGTTTAAACCCCTTGTTTGTTTTAAATCCTGGTTTTCTAACTCCTACTTAATAGAGCAGCACAAAGGAGGGAAAAAAACAGAACATAGAAAAATACAAATAAAAAAGCTTTTAAACCTTGGCTAATAAAGCAGATTAAACAAAAATAAAATACAAACCACTCTCCACAGTATACAAGCCACTCTCCAATGAACTCCTGGTTTTCTAACTCCTACTTGAAAGAATCTACTAAACCCCTTAAGGACGGCGGGCGTGCTATGTCGTCTTTGGGGAACTAGCTCTCAATGCCGACAGGCAGCAATGCACGTCCACACTGTCCTTCCCACTTACCTGCATGCTGGGCGAATTACCTGACATCACAGGGAGTCCCCCTGCTGCCAATCTGGCCCTCCTGGGCCATATGATCGCGAGGTCCTTGCGAGAACCTCACGATCACATGGACGGAATAGCCGTCCATAGCAGTGCCAGCAGGGGGAGTGCCTGGAATGACAGGTAATCCCCCTGCTACCTGAAAAAAAGTTTAATAAAGTGTAAAATAAAATAATATTTACTTTGATCATATATATATATATATACACTTACACATACATACACAGTCTAAGTGTATTTTAATATTAATATATATGTATATATATTAATATCAAAATACACTTAGAATGATATTAATTAAATATATATATATAATTATATATATATATATGTATATATATATATATAATGTAAAATAAAAAATATATAAATACATTAAAAATGAAAAATAATAAAATATATATATATATATATATATATGTGTAATTTCGTTCTAACGGTATTTTGATATTAAAAAAAAAAAATATATATATATATATATATTTATATATATCAAAGTACACTTAGAATGAAATAATATATATATATCTAAATACATAAGAATATATGTATATATCACTATATATATATATATATATATATATATATATATATATATAAAAATAATTTTAAACTATCCTACACTCATACTGGAACCTTACTCCATATAGGGCTATTTGCCCCTAACACAAGTATTAAGGCTGTTTGGCCTGTAATTGAGGGAGGGGCTTAAGTTTATTCACTTACCTATATAAGGTACACCCCTTACCTAACTCCATAACGCTCAAGGTCAGCTTCTGAATGACCCTCCCACCCACTCCTCATTCTCAACACTTTCTTTTCTTTCTATTTTCTTTACTTTTCTTACTCCTTGGTGGGCCCTCTTTATTTACAGGCCTACTGTATCGTCGGTCTTGGCACACCTCAACCGACTTTGCTCTTTTATACTATTCTACGCTCATACTGGAACCTTACTCCATGTACGGCTATTTGCCCTTAACACAAATATATATATATATATGTATATATATATATATATTTGTGTTCGGGGCATTCCCATATCATATGGAATACGCTGGTGAAGAGAAATAAATAAAAGGAAATATTCGGTTGAGGTGTGCCGAAACCGATGTATGCTGTAGGCCGGTAAACAAAGTGGGCTTACATAGAGGAAAAATATAGCTAATGGGAGTAGAGGGTGGGCCTGTTCGTCTAGACCAACAAAGGTAAGTAAGGGAAGGGGGAGTCCCTTAAGTAGGTCTGTAGTCCCTCCACAACTTCAGGCCATGCCTTCCAATTTGTATTCGGGGCATTCTCATATGATATGGAATACGCTGGTGAAGAGAAATAAATAAAAGGAAATAGTCGGTTGAGGTGTGCCGAAACCGATGTATGCTGTAGGCCGGTAAATAAAGTGGGCAAAAAGAGGTAAATCAAAGAAAACATAGTACATTATTACATATTAAGTAGACATCTTAATGAAAGCCCTCCTAATCTCTTGGACTGGGTGTGGGATGTAAGTGGCGTAAGCCGAGGACTTCCAGCGACCCAGTGTCTTAATCATGTGTGCTGGAATGTCTTGGCTAGGGGCCATGGAGGCCGCTCCAATTCTGAAGGAGTGCCCTGACTAGTTGCTAGGATTTAGACCAAGTCTGATGATAAGCATACGGACATAAATCATGAATTTTGCCGTGGTAAGAATTGCATTGTGTAATAATAGTAGTGGTTTTGTGGTGCGTGTTGGTGTTGTGGCTAAGAAATCGTCCAGTACTTTAACCAGACACCAATTGTTCCCTGTGGGGTAGTAGGTTATGTGAACCGGTTCCCCCATCTGACTTGTTTTGGTCTTAGGTAGTGTCAGGACGTAGTAATCTGTGTGTTTCATGAGGTAAGAGGTGAGGAGGCACCCTTGGCTATGGTGCTGGCCACTAATGGTGAATTCTCTTGGTCTAAGAAACCCATAAAAAGCTAGATAAATGGCGGTTTTAATGGCCGCATTCATATGGGGTTCAAATGGTGCCTGGTCAAGTAGGACGGACAAGGATTTGAACATTTTAATGTCAATGGCCAGTCTCTTGAGTGTTGCAGGGCCGTCCGCTTTCGCTATGCCCTTCAGTAGTGTTCGGATGGGGTAAGAAGTTAAGAACCCTTTGTGGTTAGGGAAGGAGCAATACATATGGTGTTGTATCCCAATGAGGTACAGCTTAATAGTATTATGTGAGAATTTAAATTTAAGGTGGCAAAAAGATGCAAAAGCTATCAGTGAAGAAACCTCAAACAAGTTGGCTAGGTGATGGTCAGACATGAATTGTTTGTACAAGTGAAAAGCTATGTGATACACGTGTTGAGTGCTGGTTGATAAGGCTAACTTAGTGAGAACGTGGCTGTGCTGAAGTAGTTCATCTACTCCATGATAAGGTCTTGGAAAGTTGGAGCTGGGGTTGCCACACGCGCTGCCGAGGGTAGGGACAGTCTGAAAGCCTGAAATTGAAAGCGAGATAGTTGATCAGCTGCCGTGTTGTATATGCCAGGAACATGGGAGCATACAATGTGGAACTGATGGTAGTTGCCAGCCATGTCCGTTTCCTAAGGAAACTCATAATCGCCAAGGAGGAAGAGCGACCCTTATTAATAATGTGACATATTGCCAGGTTGTCAGAAAAGCAGCGTACGGATTGCACTTTCCACAACCTACACCAAGTGACAGCTGCAGCAACTATTGGGTACACTTCAAATAGGGCCGAGTTAGTGTGAAACCCCTCAATGTCCTGTGTTTCTGTTGGCCAGGTCCCCCAGAGCCATTCTGTGCCGAAAATGGGCGCATATCTCGCGGATGATGCCGCGTCTGTCCAAATGACAGGTGACTGTGAATCAATCTGCGGGAGGAACATGCTCCTCCCATTCCAGTCCGAGAGAAATTTGTACCACATCTGGAGGTCAGTGGTCGCAGGACAGTCCAAGGACATGCGGACATAGTCGTTGGAGAAGGTGGGGAACAGGGCGAGGAGCCTAGAAATGAAAGCCATGCCCTGGGGGATTATGCGCATGGCGAAATTTTGTGAACCCAAAAGTGATTGTAATTCTTTACGATTGCAAGACCCCATGTGCATGTAGTGACTAATATCGTGTAGAATGTGAACAACCTTTCCTCTAGGGAAGCTGGCCATCATTGTTGATGAATCCAGCAAAATATCAAGAAAGTTTATGATTGTGTCTGATCCTTCGGTTTTAGTGGGTGACACGGGGACACCGTGGGGGTTGGAATTAGATTTGATGAAAAGAAAATCATCTAAGTAATGTATCACATTTGGGCACCTGCAGGTATTAAGGAGGAGCCAACACAAAGCTTCTGTGAACGTGTCAAAAATCCTCGGACTACTCTTGGCCACAAAGGTGAGCTTTGTAAAAAGTAGTAGGCGTCTTGCCACTTAAAGCCATGCAGGTGCCACAAAGAGGGGTGTATAGGTAACAATTTAAAATCATTCACAATATCTGTCTTGCTAAGCCAAGCCCCCAACCCTGCCAATCTGATAGCCGCAATAGCGTCATCAATAGTGGAGTATTGTAGGGAAAATTCCTCAGATGGAATCAGTGAGTTTAGGCTGGGGATGGCTGAAGAGTGGGGTGTGGATAGGTCAATGATGAGTCTTAGTTTCTCAGAATTTTTGCTGGAAACCAGCCCGATAGGGTTAGTTCTCCAGCTGGAAGGGGGGGGAGGGGTTAAAAAAGGCCCAATGACAAATCCCTGATCCACTTCAAGTTGTAACAAGGTAGTAACTGAAGTAGGGTGATTAGTGGCAGACTGCAAATTGTGACACTGTTGGCATGTAAATGAGCCCAGTGTGAAAACCCTGGGTGAGACCTGTGCATAAAAATTCCACGAGATGTTTGGAGGGGCGAGTGGACAGCATACATGCAAGTACAGGAACGTTCACCGGAGACAAATAAGGTTTATGGTACATTTTATTAGGGCACATGGATTTCGCATGTGCCCTGAAACAATGCGAGAATACGTGTAATAAGCGGCAGGCGCTGTAATCGCAGGAGCCCTCATTGAAATTATTGCAAATCTGAGATTTGCCTAGGTACACTACTGGACGACCCAGTTTGTCTCTGGTCTGTTTCTCAGCCCTTGGGGGATGCTGTAAGGATGAGCCGGGAGCACTGTCCGGACAGAGAGGGCAAAAATGCGTGAGCGGGTGACGTACATATGGCATAAGCTGGTGTCCTAAGCCCCGCAAAATGTCTGAGGAACAGTTCATTGTCCAATTGGCTCCAATCCATCTGGATGCCGTACTGGGACAACGTGGCCGACACTTTTGATGAAAAGGACTTGTGATAGTTGTAAAAAGTATAGCCACCATACTTATTACCTAGCTCCACCAGCTTATGCATATATAGATCCAGTTCCTCTCTCCTATGGGGATGAACCGTGCATAGAATATCCTTAAAGATACCGAAAGCTAGAACAAAATCAGGAATGGCCAGTTTCTTACTGAGTCTGGGGTCTCTGGCTTTTAAAACCACCAAGATGTCCCCGTAGTCGTAAGACCGGTTTTCCACAATATCCTGGGAGGCAATGAGCAGTGAGACTAAGTTAACGTCCTTGCCTTCCAGGATGTCCTTTTTAAGATTAGCCGGAACCATGTGGGCAGGATTAATAACGTGGGCGGTTGCCTTGGTGGATATGGAATTACCCGCTATTGCTGTGGGTATGACTGGGATTACTTCGGTAAGAGGGCCAGGAGGCTGTACAGGGAAGCTACGGGCTTCCAGCCTCTCCAGCCTGTGGTTGACCTTCCCCATAGAAGAGATTAGGGAGGCAACCATAGCATGGAGAGTCGGATCTTGAGAGCTACTTGTGCCTTCCCCTGCGTCTGTATTAAGGGTATCGGTTCTTAGAAATTTGAACAGTTCTGCTTTCCTGGCAGTAGCCGGGAAGGGGATACTGCGTTTGCGTAATTCTGCAGTAATGCGGGGGATAGTCCATGATCTGATGGACGAGGGACTTCCAATGTCACCCTTGCGAGTCGGGGTAAGTGACCTAGCAGGGGTGCTAGGGATTGACATATCCTCACCATCGTCTGGGAGTAGGGACATACTGAAAATATATATTAGATATGTTGGTAACCAGGGTTGGGAATTAACAGGTGGCTAGCTAGTGCCAGATGGCGAAAAATTATTCTAGGATTTGTGGCAGGTGAGGCCCTGCTAATGCCAAGTGGCTAGAGAGGCTCTATCTATGAGTTTAGCGCGAGGGGCGTGGTAACCTACACCGGTGATGGGACGTTGGCCTCTCCATGAGTAGACAGGGGGGTATTTGGCAGTGACTGGTGTCGCCCTCTCTATATAATTTGCGAGGCGACTAACTATGATTTGGCCCGAGGGGCGTATAGTACCTCGAACTGGAAGATGGGAGTTGGCCTCGCGGACCGCTAGGACTGGGGGGCAGGGAAAATAACTAAACGGCCGTGTTGAAAATAACGTGAACCAACATACCTGCAGAAAAAGTGAGCCCTGGCTTCTGTATAAGAGAAACCAGAGGTCTCTTAAGTAGAATACGTCCTTGCAGGCATATATTGCCCAAATACGAACCAAAGACAGCTTTTGCAAAAAAATTTGCACAAACTCACCCAAAACGACATTTGGAGCCACCATCATATGTGGTGACCTAAACTACGTACTGGATTCACGCATGGACACAACACTGCCTGGTTTCTCCCCATGACATTCCGCAACCAGGATACAAAGCAAAGCTATACTCAAACTAATAACAGAACACAACTTATAAAATGCCTGGTGGGCACTACACCCTACAGACAAGGAGTTTACATACTACTCACAGGTACACAAGTCGTTCTCACAAATAGACCACATCCTGCTGTCGGGGCCACTAGTTTTAAGAACCACCCAGTGCAAAATTGGGGACATCGTGTGGTCAGACCACACACCAATTACCATAACCTTGAGAGGTCCATTTCCTCATAGAGGCCAGGCGCTGTGGAGCCTAAACGAATCCCTGCTGCATGACCCTACCTTCCTCACCCAGATGACACAACACTTAGAACAATATTTTCAAACTAATGATCCTCCAGACCTACTTCCTACTTCCTTGTGGCTGGCCCACAAACCAACCATAAGAGGGCTATTGATCAGCAGGGCCTCATACATCAAACGCACATCCAACGAAGAATACATGACCCTGCTGCGCACAATATGGGACGTAACAAACACATACACGACAAGCCCAGACAAGGCCCACCTCCAATCAATAACAACCGCCACAAAACATCTAAACGACATCCACCTATCCAAGACATCCCATACAATGTAACGTCTAAAAATAAGACAATACTCCCAGGGTAATAAGGCGGGGAAGGCAATGGCAGCATTGCTGAGAAAAAAGCAAGCCCAATCCAAAATCCCTTACTTAATTTCCAGCAAAGGGGAAAAAATCTACAACCTCCAAGATATTAATGATGAAATTCTACCACAATTTGTACAATTTAAAGCAGGATGACACAACACACCACCCCACTGAAACTGAAATAAGCAACTTCCTAGACCTCACACAACTGCCATCACTGACACTGCAACAAAAAGAACTGATACAACTACCCATGACGAGCCAAGAAATACTACAAATCATAGCATCCCTACCATCCGGGAAATCCCTGGAACCAGACGGCCTCACCAATTATTATTACAAAACATTCTCCACCATCTTAGCCCCACATCTAACACCAGTATACAACCACATCATTACCACAGGCACAATGCCAAAGGAGATGCTCATGGCGCATGTAGTGACACACCCTAAGCCAGGGAAACCACCAAATGAAAGTCACAACTTACGCCCGATATCACTCCTTAACATGGACACAAAATTGTTGGCTAGAATATTTGCCAACAGACTGGACCAAATTATACCTACAATAATACATGTAGACCAGGTAGGGTTCGTGAGTGGACGTCAGGGAGTGAGGAAGGTCCTAGACCTGCTGGGTGGAATGCGGGGAGGGAGTGCGCCAAGCGTGCTGGTATCGTTGGATGCAGAAAAAGTTTTCGATCGCTTCCACTGGCCCTTCCTCTTCGCGGTCATAGGGAAGTTCGGATTCCCCCCACAATTCATAGCACTGATAAAGGTTCTCTACTCCTTTCCCTCGGCCCAGGTGGTAAATGGAGGCTTTTTCGTCGAACAGCTTCAATATTTCCAACGGTTCTAGACAGGGCTGCCCCCTGTCCCCGATACTATATATACTCGCCCTAGAAGCCCTCACACAACTGATTAGAAACAATCCCAAGATACAGAGAATCAGGGTTAAGAGCATAGAATATAAACTTACACTGTTTGTGGACGACATCCTCCTCACACTACAAAATCCACATACCTCACTACCTGCACTACACAATCTAATTCAACAATATGGAAAATGTTCTTATTACAAGTTAAATATAACCAAAACACAAGCAATGGGAATTAACATTCCACAGACTGAGCTAAGCCATCTCAAAGAGACGTTCGCATACGAATGGCGTACAGACCACATTAAGTTCCTAGGGATAGCCTTGACACAGAATTTAGCGGGTATACACAAAGCAAACTATAACCCACTACTCACGGAGCTGAAAACCTTGATACACAGTTGGAAAGGGAAATTCATCTCAGGGGTGGGCAGGATAGCAGTAACAAAAATGCTACTTCTTCCAAGAATACAATACCTATTCAGAACTATCCCACTTGCAGTACCCAACAGCTACCTACGTGACGTACAGAAATTAATAAATTCCTTTGTCTGGAATAACACCAGGCCCAGGATCGCAAAGTCCACCCTCTACAAACCATTCCCAATGGGAGGCATGGGCCTACCAAATGTAACAAACTATTATAAAGCAGCCACCCTGGGCCGGGTACTAGCCGTCAGCAGTAATTCTAGACCCCCGCAGTGGGTGCTCATAGAAGCGACTTATACCAACAACTTTACTATCTCTGCTCTTGCCTGGATGACCAGGAAATTACGACCCAAACACAAGGATATCCTCCCTACGACCAAACTTACTACAAATATGGGACCAATTTGGGGACACATATATAATGAGGGGTGGTACCTCCTTAGCATCACCCCTGGAAGCATTAACATTAGCAATACCGGAATTTAACTGCAAACTGTGGCATAACCACCATATCACACATCTTTACCATATCTGCCAGGGACCAACGTTGAAAACATTTGCAGAGGTCCAAACACAATATGGGCTACCCGACACAGCACACTTTGCATACATGCAACTTATATCATGGTTCAGGAAGCAAAAAATTTGCTCTTATCATCCTGTAAATGGTCTACAGCTGACGGAGATGGAACAAATATGTCTCAAACTAAGACCACCAAAAAAAACTATCTATATTATATGCTAAATATAGCACCACAGTAGAAACTCAAGCCTTTACATTCATCAAGGCATGGGAACGCGAAATTGGAACTAACATTCCTGAGAGCCAATGGGCCCAAATATTTCGGGCACACAGAAACCTCTCTTTGTGCACCTCTCATGTGGAGATTACGCATAAAATACTATATCGATGGTACATGGTACCGGTACGGCTCAAACGAGGCAACCCAACCCTGACAGACACCTGTTGGCGCTGTATGAATGACAAAGGGTCCATGCTGCACATCTGGTGGTCATGCCCGAAATTAAAGCAATACTGGTCAGGCATAACAAAAATAATACATGATTGCACGGGTGTTAGCTTGCAGGAGAACCCAGAAATGTATTTGTTACACCTATTCCCAAGGGGTCTAAATAAAAACCACATATACCTCATATACCACATAATAGTGGCAGCCCTTCAAACGATTAGCAGGCTTTGGCGCAAATTAGACCCACCGACCACGGCCCAATGCCTTACAGCATTACAACTGACAAAACAATATGAAATAATGGCATATCGTGGAACACTTGGGAGGTGTACGTGACAAACAAAAAGGGGTGAACCCCCACGTTACAACATATAGAAAAAAAAACACCTAGGTGCCCCAAAAGGGAACAACTCACAATACCTATACTTAAGCGTCGTAATACAAGACAATCTCATATGCATGAGACGAATGGGCCACTCCGACAGCTGAGACCATATCTATGCCATAATATGTATGAAGTGAATGTATCTACAAATTATGCAATAACAGATATGCAAAACCTCTCTGACCCCCACCATCACTACCTCCCCTCCTGTACCCTCTCCCCACCCCATACCCCATTTACTGTTAGTATGTTAAAAGTACCAACATGCAGCGAACGAAGTAGGGAATGCAATATGAGCTAAGAAACTGTTAAAGCGGATGCAAAACTCACTGTGAAAACTTCCATTGTAATGTATGCTTCGATGTATGTAGATATTATAAAATGCAAAAAAAAAATAAAAAATTATTACAACGATGATATCATCCGTGAAAGTTAAGTTTTTGGTATTTTTCACACACAAACGGCACTTACACTAACAATATAATTCTTGTGATACGTTTTACGGTTTTGAACCACTACATATTACAGATTTGGTTGGATTGACCAGAAATGACTGTAGTAAATATTAAATTTGCCACTGAGGTCAGAATTATCCCATTTTCAAGGAATGTTTGTTTAGTGAATAACCATGTAAGTCTCTCTTTTAAGGATACCCTAGGCACCATAAATAAGGTTTGCAATCATTCCAATTCGTAACCCCCCCCCCCAAAGTTTTGCAACATATCTCTATCTTTACTATAGCTAGCAGGAAATTGTGAGGAAAGTCATATGTGGATTTATTGCACATGACAATAGACATCGTAGTATGGTGATAAAAAATAAGGATACTTAGAGGTTTATTCGATAAACTGGGATTAGTGAAAAAGTGGCAAAGGATTTTAGGCCACAGCATCCAAGCTACAAAATAGAAGCGTTGCATAATTATTTAAAATTTTGCTATTTTGGCCTGAAATTTGCATTCCTTCAATTCAATTTGTGAATAACACCAGAAATCTATCAACAAATCTGGCACAATTATGGGGCAGATTTCGAAACTTGGAGTAGAAACCAGTTGAATATTTCTAGCTCTTAATTCAGAACTTTAATCAGAAGCTAATTTACAGAATGTTTCACTAAGACAAGATTGATTGGATTATAAAACTTTGCTTTTTGACAGATGCTTTTATTATATCGTTTTAATCTTCAACAATTCTAAATCTGACCTTCAACCTTATCTTTTCAAACAGGATCCGACCTCGGGATTATTTTGGGAAATATTTTAACACAAGTAAGCTTCTGATTGCCCACCCGGACTTCATGAGATACATAAAGAACAGGTGAGCGACTATGCAGGCATCATGACTGCCGTAAGAAAACAGCTAGCGCACAAATCACTTTTAGTCGGTGCAAATGAATCAAATGCCTTTCAATCTGTGAATGAATACGATATCACAGGTAAATCCCGGATGGGTCGATTTGTTAAATATGCAGATTAAAATCATGTGACACACATACAGACAACCACTCACTGACATACATACACACACTGGCAGACACACACACTCACTGACAGACATACACTCACTGACAGACATTCACACACAAACACTTAAACTCACTGACAGACATACAGACACTCACTGACATACATACACTCACTCACTGACAGACACACACACACACACACACACACACACAGGCAGACACTGACAGACAGACACACTGACAATCAAACACTCACACACTCACTGACAGACACACACACAAACACACACGTGTGTGTGTGTGTGTGTCTGTCTGTCAGTGAGTGAGTGTATGTCAGTGAGTGTCTATGTCTGTCAGTGAGTTTATGTGTGTGTGTGTGTATGTCTGTCAGTGAGTGTGTCTGCCAGTGTGTGTATGTCCAGTGTGTGTATGTATGTTAGTGTGTGTCTGTCAGTGAGTAAGTGTATATATGTCAGTGAGTGTCTGTCATTGAGTGAGTGTATGTCTGTCAGTGAGTGTCTGTATGTCTGTCAGTGAGTTAATTTGTGTGTGTATGTCTGTCAGTGAATGTGTGTCTGTCAGTGAGTGTTTGTGTCTGCCAGTGTTTTAATGTATGTCAGTGAGTGTGTGTCTGTCAGTGAGTAAGTGTATATATGTCAGTGAGTTAATGTGTGTGTGTGTGTGTGTGTGTGTACGTCTGTCATTGAGTGTCTGTATGTCTGTGAGTGTGTGTGTGTCTGTCGGTGAGTGTGTGTGTGTGTGTGTGTCTGTAAGTGAGTGTATGTGTGTCAGTGTATGAGTGTGTGTATCTGTCAGTGAGTGAATATATGTCAGTGAGTATCTGTGTGTGTGTGTGTGTGTGTCTGTCGATGAGTGAGAATATGTCTGTCAGTAAATGTCTGTGTGTGTGTGTCTGTCAGTGAGTGTATGTCAGTGAGTGTTTATGTGTGTCAGTGAGTTTATGTGTGTGTGTGTGTGTGTGTGTATGTCTGTCAGTGAGTGTGTCTGCCAGTGTGTGTATGTATGTTAGTGTGTGTCTGTCATTGAGTGAGTGTATGTCTGTCAGTGAGTGTCTGTATGTCTGTCAGTGAGTTAATGTGTGTGTGTGTGTATGTCTGTCGTGTTTCTGACTGCCTCTCTACTATTTCCAACTGGATGGCTGCTCACTTCCTTAAACTCAACCTGTCCAAAACAGAACTTCTAGTTTTTCCTCCATCAAGTGCTGCTACTCCTGTGTCTGTCTCCATCCAAGTCAAATGCGCTACTATCACCTCTACCTCGCAGGCTCGCTGCCTAGGGGTTCTTTTTGATTCTGATCTCTCTTTTACTCCCCATGTCCAATCGATAACCAAATCCTGTCACTTCCAACTCAAGAACATAGCACGCATCCGCCCATATCTAACGCCGGACGTGGCTAAGGTACTGGTTCATGCTGTTGTTCTCTTTCGCCTTGACTACTGCAACCCCCTTCTCACCAGTCTTACATGTTCCCAGCTTGCACCGCTGCAATCTATAATGAATGCGGCTGCGAGGCTTATTTTCCTGTCAGGTCGCACCTCCCACGCCTCCACGCTCTGTCTGTCCCAGCATTGGCTTCCAGTTAGATATAGGGCCCAATTAAAAATTCTGGCGCTTGCTTACAAATCCCTACATAATGCTGCTCCAATATACCTATCCTTCCTCATACACAAGTATGTCCCATCGAGACCCCTGTGCTCAGCAAAGACCTACGCCTATCCTCTGCCAGGATCCCCACCTCTGATGCTTGCCTTCAACACTTCTCCAGGGCTGCACTTATTCTGTTGAACTCCCTTCCCTCCTCAATCAGACTTTCACCCAGCCTCCACTCCTTCAAAAAAATCTTTGAAAACTCACTTCTTCATTAAAGGACCACTATAGTGCCAAGAAACCATACTCGTTTTCCTGGCACTATAGTGGCCTGAGGGTGCCCCCATTTACAGTGCTTTCCTATGGATGCTTGCGTGCTCTCACTGTGATTTTCACAGTGAGAATCACGCAAGCGCCTCTAGCGGCTGTCAATGAGACAGCCGCTAGAGGCTTTGGGGGAAGGATTAACCTATTTATAAACAGAGGTTTCAGAGAAACTGCTATGTTTATAAAAAAAATGGGTTAACCCTAGCTGGACCTGGCACCCAGACCACTTCATTAAGCTGAAGTTGTCTGGGTGCCTAGAGTGGTTCTTTAAAGCGTATCAATTAAACTGTCAGCAGGTTTCTCATCCCCCACGCCATGACTCCTTTCCTGAAACTGTCAAAAATGACCTACCAAGCACTCAATAAACCCTTCTCTAACAAACTATGTAATTCCCCTACTTTAACCCTTTGTGTCACTATACCCCACTCCCTCTAGCATGTAAGCTCATCGAGCCAGGCCCTCAACCCCCTCTGTTCCTGTACAACTAGTGGTCTGATCTCAATTATGTGTCTGTTAGTCCACCCACGCTCTACGGAATTTGTTGGCGCTATATAAATAATAAAATAATAATAATATATACACTTACTCACTGACAGAAACACACACAGACATACACTCACTGACAGACACACATTCACTGACAGACATACACTCACTGACAGACACACACACAAACACTTAAACTCACTGGCAGACACACACTGTGAAGAAAATAGCATGCTATTCTGGACTTTTTATTGCCATTTAGAACTTTTTATGTTTTATTGGTTCGGTAGCTGTAACTACCGAACACTGACCACCCCCCTGGCTCAATATCTTCAAAAGAAACCGTCGATTAAGCACTCTCCCTGTGTGGCCGCCGTTAGTATAACCGAACACCGCGTGCAAGAGAAAATGGCAGCCATCTTGTTAGCATGTAAGGAGGCAGCGGGACTTGGTCATCGAGTGTCTAGAACTAAAATCGGACACTTGACTTCCCGAACACCGGTCAAAGCATACGAACACCTGCTTCCTTTTTCCGAACAGCTAGGAGACTGCTGTTCGTTAGTTTGGTTCCCACGAACCAGGGGAGCAATCGCTACTATGAGCCAGGGGGTTCCGTTCATGCATTTATTCGGTTTGACTTTTCGAAATAGACTGATCGCACAACCTAAACTCATGGAACTGTTTCTGGGCAGGAGCCTCGTGTGCGGTTGGTACAAATGGGATTTCCATAAATTTGAAAACCCCTGAACAGATCTGGGTGATTTTGGGATATGTTGGTCACCCAGATCAGGGCTATCAGGGGATATTTATGGGGATGCTATGTGTTTTAGGATACTTTCTAAGTTTTGGGGAAAATATGTTTTTACTGCCTGGAGATAATTATCTATAATATAATTAATATAATAATCGATAATCTATTTTATAGTTACAAATAGGATATCTAAATAAACTCACACTCTGATACCTCGAAAATGCCCTTGTTATTAGGTTCAGTGCCTATTTTGGTCCCAAATTCCTCTGTTTTCTAGGAGCTACATATCTTTAGTTTGTGTGACTAAAAAGGGCTCCACAGCAATAATACTCAGAGTAATGTGATCGTAAACTACAATAAACGTGTTTCAAGATGTTTGCATAAATAAAATACCTTCTTCTTGTCCTAAATTACATTTAGCTGCTTTATATATTGTTAATTAGTCACCAAGATGGTCTCAGAATAACGCAGCCCCTGATCACATTTCCTACTCACACCCCAAGTTAAAATATCACTCTTTGTCAATCTGAAATGTTTCAAGGCATGCACTCTGTATTTTATGAAAAGAAGTCAACACAAAATGGCAGCTGTTTTATTAATTAATTATTCTGAGGGCAATTTACAACTTTGCAGACATCACAAATCAACATAAAATCTTGTACATAACAAACATCAGATACTGGGCAAGAAGTTGATTAAACACAGGTCCAATCTCAGACTAATATTATATAACTTTTAGATGTATACCAGATTATAGACTTCCGTCTATTTTGGGCAACTTTTACTGAACTATTATCAAGTTTAGTTTGAACCCTTTCAATAATGATGTTGACATTTTTATCATTTTCAGGTTTTTGCGATCTACCACATTGAATGGAACTTATTGGAATTTATACAGGCCAAGTACAGGTGCCATGCTTTTGCTGACTGCAGTCCATCTGTGTGATACAGTAAGTATTAAAAAAACATATGGAATGTTGTGTCTCATACCTTTTTTCATGTAGAATGAGCTAAAAGGTCCATTAAAAAAAACCATACTCTTTATAGAACAGTATCTCAGGCATGACCTAGATAACCAAGCTCATATGGCCTGGAAAACAGATTGTAACTGTGGACAATATATTTTTTTAGTTTTTATAACATAAAGTTCAAAAATATCCACTCGCTCTCTAGCCATTGGTGAGTATAAATTCAGTCCTAGTAAGTAGAAAATTTAGTACTGTTTAGTAGAAATTCACTCATGGTCAGGGTGCCACGCACTGTCAAGGCTTGGAGGGGCAAGAAACTTTTAGTAGCATAGGACTTGAAAGGACCAGTAAAACATTATAATTTTTACCTCAAAAGAAGGGAAATTATTCCCGTACTCCAAAACAGAGAACATGCTACAGTCTACATATATAGAAATTTAATCTTCGCCAATACAACCATTGTCTTGAAATCTATTCATAAAACAGGACTATACATTGGACACGAGTTCACGCATCTAAACTGGAAGAAAGAAGATTTAGCCTAAGACTCATACTGAGTGAGAGGAGTTTGTATGGGTCCCGCCGCAATCGGAAACTTTCGGGTTGCCATGGCATTATAGGACGCAGCAGCAAGCAGAGCCATAGGGGGAATAGTTCACCCCTATACCAGAGGTGGTTGTATCATCCACATGCTAAACAAGAATTAAAGAATAGTAAATAAATATATAGTCAAAAGTTAAAAGCAATGCATTGGACAACGGGGTAGCGACATTATGGATGAATATGTAAGTGTAACTGTCTGAATGTATTCACGTGGTATAAATGCTGTATATACAGTGTATGGGGCTTGGAAGCTAAACCTTATATTGGGTGCATGGAAGCATTCTGTGCTTCAATTATTGAATACTGGTCTTGTGGCAATGTTACAAATACCATAGAGACAACAAAGTATAGATTTCAATGTAATCAAGGATTGCAATACTGTTTACTCACCAAATGGTGAGGGAAAAAAGAAAACCCCTAAACATATATAAGATCCCCCTCTAAATAGCGTATTAACCAACCACATCAAAGAGAAAGGGATCTAGATCTAAGTGGGATACTGGTGTGTTACTGGAAATCACCCAGTGCATGCCCCTGAGATCCACCATATTTCCAAAAAGGATTGATAAATAATGGCTGTAGGAAAAATTATTATTTACAAAAAAATAGAGAATATTTTTTTTTTTAGACTCCTAGGCCATACTGTGTCCAAAGTACTGATCCAAAATAGTTCTTTTTGGAGTAGAAGCAGTGGTGCTGGTATATGATCAATGACAATGAATTTCATTGATGGCATAGGGTGTTTTGCACTTAGGAAATGTTTTGCCACTGGTAGATCAGAGTGTTGGTCTCAGTAGGCTATTTGAATACTGGATCGATGGAGCCTCATTCGTTCCCTGAGCGGCGAGTCTGTTTTGCCCATGTATGTCAGTCCGCATGGGCATTATAGTTTATAACTACATAGTCCGTAGTGCATGTGAGTCTGTGTCTTATAGTATACTTTTTCCAGTATGGGGATGTGAGAACGTCTTACTTGGCGTCATGTGGTTGCAAGTGACGCAGCCCAGGCATCTGTAGCAACCTAAGTTTTGGAAAGATTTGGAAGCAGCACAGCAATGAATCGGATCAGTTTTAACTAGGAGGCCTCTAAGATTTTTGCCTCTTTGGTATGATATAATTGGCAGTTCACGGAACTCTACCGGAAGGGAGTCATCATTACTTAGGTCTCTCCAGTTCTTGGAGATACTCTGTTGGAGGTTCTGTGAGTTAGTAGTATAGGTGGTTGGAAATACCAGTCTGTTGGTATTCTTGGTACTGCCTCGTGGAGCTTCATAACACTTGTTTAGTGCTTTTTGTAGCACCTCTTTCTTGTAGCCTCTTTCACTGAACTTCTTCCACATCTCTTCAATCTGGATGGTTGTATTTTGTGGATTCAAGTTATTCCTCAGAACTCTAAGGAATTGGGAACATGGTAGGGAGGTCTTCAGGTGTCGTGGGTGGAAGCTATTGGCTTGAAGAAGAGAGTGTTCCTGTCTGTAGGTTTAAAATATAGTGTGTAAGCCAACTGTTGTGCTTCTCTGTATATCCTCACATCAAGGAAATCGACGTGTGTAGTACTTGTATTCATCATTGGTGTTTCCAATTAATTAATGTATTGTAGCATCTTGGTTGTAGAGTCTGCTGTGCCTTTCCAGACCATAAGGATATCGTTGATGTATCGAGGGTAAAACAATATATTTTCTTTGAAGGGCTGCAATTGAAGTTCTTGTTCAAATACGTACATATATCCATTGGCATACATGGGAACCATCGCCACGCCCATAGATGCTCCTGCTACTTGTCTGTACCATGTAGTCTTGAAGCGAAAGTAATTGTTCGTGAGCACCACTTCCAATAGTTCCAATATATACTCAATTGGCGGACCTGTATAAACATTTGAATTGCTTAGCAACGTACACATTGCTTCAATAACTGTCCCATGTGGAATTATTGTGTGTAGACTTTTTACATCACATGTGAGTAAGAGCATAGAAGTATCAGGTAGTATGGTGTCCTTGAGTAGAGTTAATAGACTATGTGTGTCCTTGACACATGTGGGTAGCTGTTCTATGGTTGCCTTAAACAGAAAATCAGGCCATTTGGCTATGGGCTCAAGTAGGCCACCTATAGCTGATACAATGGGCCTTCAGGAGGTCGTACTGGATCCTTATGGATTTTTGGAAGGGTGTAAATCACCGGTGTCCTTGGGTGTTTTTGGTTGAGGTATGTATAGAGATCTTGTGAGATGTAGTTCGCCTCCAATCCTCTCTGTAAGATGGTTTGTATCTTTAGCATGATTCTTGTTTTTGGGTCTGAGGGTAATTGTACATAGGTATCTGTACAACAGTTCTTCTTTGTAATAGTCATTAGTGATGTCCCGAACGGTTCGCCGAACGGTTCGCGAACGGTTCGCCACGGACTCATCATTGAGTAAACTTTGACCCTGTACCTCACAGTCAGCAGACACATTCCAGCCAATCAGCAGCAGACCCTCCCTCCCAGACCCTCCCACCTCCTGGACAGCTCACTAAGAATGCAGCAATGAATGTAAAATGGATGCTGTCCAGGACGTGGGAGGGTCTGGGAGGGAGGGTCTGCAGGGAATGCCATAGCCCCCCTCCCTGGCCAGGTAACAAGCAGGGAGGGGGAGGGGGGACAAAAAAAATAAAACATAAATATTAAAAATAAAATTTAAATAAAAATGCCCCCCTCTCCCCCATTTTACACAAATTACATCCCTTCAGAAACACACACACTATACAAACACACACACACTCTGCATTGTATACAAACACTACACACAATGCATTATATACACACACTAAACAAACACACACTCTGCATTCATTATATACACACACATACACACAGTGCATTCATTATATACACACACTACACAAGCACTCAGGAATGTTTAATCAGGGGGCGGGGAGCCCCTTATAAAGCACAAATACATCACATGCATAATTACAGATAACAGAGAAAAATACAACAATAATTGGTCAGATGTTAGGTGGTTTATTCAATGCACATCCTTCTGGGTGTGCATGTTACTGTTATCATGAAATTCTTCCCCGGATTCCAGCTCCATCTTGGTTACACGATGGGAGGGGGTGACTTCCAGCAGCCAATTTGAGTAGTCACTGAATAATACTGATTGTTATGCAGAGTTAATAGGCATTTTACTTTAGTTAATATTCTGTCCACAACAATATACACACACACTACACAAACACACACACACTGCACAAACACACTGCATTTACTATACACACACACTACACACAATGCATTCACTTTACGCACACTACACACACTGCATTCACTATACACACACACACCACATTCTACATTCACTATACTCACACACCACACTCTACATTCACTATACTCACACTACACAAACACACACACTCTACATTCACTATATATACATACTACACAAACACTCACTGCATTCACTATACACACACTACACAAACACACCCTGTATTTATTATATATACACTACACAGACACACTCTGCATTCATTATATACACACTACACAAACACACTCTGCATTCATTATATGCACACTACACAAACACACACTGCATAAACACACACAGCTCCTCTGTCTAAACACACTGCATCCACTACATGTGGCATGTATATTTTGTGCATTTACCTTTAGAAATAGTTTATTTTTTCAAAACGGTAAATGTACAGAATATCGTAGCTGTCCTTCCGCCGCTTGCCACCAATTGTAACGGCACCCCAGGGCATAAAAGGGTTAAACCGCCGTTCAGTAGATCTTCCCTTCCAGAGACAGAGGCACAGCTGCTGCAGAACACCAATCCGCCGAACAGGAAACCATATGAATTCCGTAAACAGCCGAACCGGAACCATCCGAATGCTGTAAACAGCCGAATAGGAAAAACCATACGAAAGGTTTACACTCCTAGCAGTCGAACTGGAACAGCATACAATAAATCCCCCCAAGAACGAGACAAAGCTCCGTGTTGAGGGTCAAGCAGTGAACAGCCAGAGCTGTGGGTTTATTCTGCTTATGTACACATTCTTACACATTAGTACCACCCACAGGGTTTTGGAACACAACCAATAAACACATACAATACACTCAGACACTCCCACACAAAATCATCCCCTCTGCCTGTGATACAATTACCTTACACAATGGGTAATGTAATTATAACAAGCAGAGAAATACAATTTTTCCACATTATTCATAACTTGAAAAGTATGCATCACATTCACATAAAACTTACATTTTCAGAATCAGCATACTCCGAATACAAACATATATCAAATTCATACAAATTGGTCGAATGGTTCAAAAGATAGATCGTAGTCCTTTGTGACCAAAGGAAGCATGGCTTTTCTGCCCAAAACCAGTTCCACAGAGTCTTCTATCCTGGAGATAATTGGTGTGACGAAGTGCCCTTCGCCACTTGGTCCTGGAGAGGCCTACTTGCCAGCCTCCTCCCCTGTGACTATGACTCTTTCATGTATCTGGCTTTAAAGCCCCTAGTCTACCTTCAGACAGACTATTTATGTAGGCTGCTTTATTTATCTTATGTTTTAGTCACCCTGTACCCATTATAGGTGCAGGGTGTGTGTTATGTAATTGTTTATAGTGTGTGTGTGTGTGTACTGTGTAATGTATTGCCTGCTCTCTTGTATTGCTGAGGTTTGCTACCAACTAGGTGGGTTTGGCTATGGAGCTTGTCTAGTGCCCTCTGTTGGTAGCAACAGCAATATGCACTACCTGAATTGCAAGACAGGTTCATTTGCATATTCGGGTAGATTTGCATATTGCTAATTCTGCAGGCAGGTGAGATATTTACTGTTAAATATTGTCTCCCCCCACCCCTTTAAAAATGTGCCATTGTGTTGTGATAAGTCACTGTGTGTTGCTTGATATGGTTTGACTGTTTGTGATTTTATTGAGGTTTCACAACAATGTTATTGTGGTGACCCTATTGGCTGGTCCCAAGGGAAATAAAGGTTTTGACAGTTCTTCTTGATCCCTCTAAATGTAGCCTTGTCTCGTTATTGGAGGGAGCTGTTATAATCACACTGGGGATTGCTATGCTCTGCATGCTCCCCTGAGCTTGAGTCACTTAGCTCTTTTAAGAGCTTGTTCCTGACACGCTCTCCTTGGAGGAGGGGTCTTCACCACACAGTCCTGGATGCTGGAGGTTCATACAGGGTGGAAGGGAGAGTTCTTTCCCACACAGTCCTGGAGGACAGAAGCTAATCCAGGGTGGAAGGAAGACGGCGAGACTCCAGTCAAGATACGGCGGTTGCGGAGTCTGTGGTGGTTGTGGTGTCTGCTGCAGTGCTTGGGAGTCCTCAGGAAGCGCTAGGAGCATCCATCAACGGAGGGTACTCAGTCGGAGTACAAGGAGCTCCGTTACAATTGGGAAGTAATCCAATTATCTCCAAAGACAGAGGCAAAACTCCCTTGAACACATGGCAGCAAAAGACAATAAAATACATAAAAACATATAACTGTGCAGCCATTGCACAAAACAGATACATTCAACAAATCCCCAGATAGCTCAGATCTGAGCGCACATTATTACTGAATGGCGCTCAGAGCACACACATACAGTTCAATTGCCATGGAGCCAAAGTCTTTCCCATAGTCTTTCATTATACAAATGGGCTCCACGGCATAGCTATCTGGGGTATCACTGCTCAAACAGGGCACGCACCGAATGACCCGGCTTTCATGTCTTCGCAGGGGAAAATCAAGCCTTTCAATATGGGGCCATAGTCTAAAGGCAGCAGGTGGGCAACCAGGCTCCTCCAATGCACAGTGGCGAGATTGGTCTCGTCACACACATATATATATATATATATATATATATATATATATATAGTAAGTATACCCCAATACCAATGGTAAGAAGAACCCATTAGAAAGTAACAAATTACCCATCAATGGAATATGCAGGTTTAACATATAAAAGTAAAGGAGACAGCCTGCAAGAGAAACAGGCCACAGTAAAGAAGTCAAAGCACTGCAAAGTCGTATGTACTGTGTTACATACTATCAAGCAACTCAAACCATGACAGGGTAAATAACTAATTGTGGCATTATCTTATATAGCCCATTAATAAAGCCTATTGGAAAGAGTCATATTTCTGATGCCCGAGTGTTCATAAGTCTCTGTGGCTCCAAAAAAAAAAGAAAGAAGTTAAGGATTCTGGGGAGTGTAGCGCTCCGTGTCGAAAATAATAACACAAAATGTTCTTATGTGTACCATGGTGGTATCCAGATGGAGTAGAGGTCTGACCATGTATTTATGGAGTTAATAAGAATGGAGAGTATCACTTTTCACTGAAGAAATTAGATATTTTCCTGTCTAATCTTCTTACTAATCTACCAAGGTTAGAATTAGAGTTTTTGCACATGTTGTTGCTGCCCTTCATCATCACCTTCTTCCTCTTCTTTGGCCTGTGGTGAAACCTCACACACCATGCTCCTGGGCAATGATGTGAAGGCAGTAACACTACATCTTAATGCCTTTTTCTAGTGTGTATTTCAACAGAGCCACCAAAATGGTCTAGATATCTGAAGAGCATCTTCAGGACCCCAAAAAGTCACTTAATAACACCTCTGAACCCGATAGCCTGAATTCCTTCCAAAAAGAAAACAATATGTGAAATATGGTCATAGAAACATGAAGGCATGATATTTTAGATAAATGCATGTTAGTAATTATTTTAATAAGGATTGATATCTAGGATGCTATTTGAATATATCCATTTGGCATAAAGTTTTTTCAAAAAGATTGTTGAGTTGTATGTAACTGCCATGACAGTTCCCTTGGATTATAGTTACCATCAATGTCCTCAGTTTATGGCCACACACAACCTACACATTTACTGAATGTGTTTCCTATTTTTGTTCCTTGATTTGATGCCACTTGGAACTCTTATTTAAGCATGTGTGTAGCTTATGGTTCCAAGCACATTTGAGATTCCCTTTCAACATATCTACAGTCTCTGGAGGAAAAGTTGATTTCTCATAAGTCTACAGAAAATGTTTTTCCTCCAATGGTGAGGTTCAAGATTTGACCATTGGACATCTGGGGTTTTCTTTTATTTCTCTTCACCTGGGTAGTTGAGGATCTCCAAATGGCTGGATATACTTATTTAGATCCCTTCATAGCTCTCTGAAGATCTAGTCCCACTACTTGGTGGAACACAAGCAATGAATTGATGATCTCCTGTCCCTTTGTGTGTGGTTGTTGGACTCATTAAGGTTTGACAATGTTAGGGCAGACTGGGGAAACATATAAAAAAAATAGTCATAAGTGATGAGCCGCATTATATATTATACTATAATTATAATTTATTTTTTGTTATTTGTTCCTTCTGCATTCCTTGTCATATGCCGCTTTAACACCATGTGTTCAATGTAACTTTTCCTATCTCACCCCTGTTGTTAATTGTAACGGCACCCCAGGGCATAAAAGGGTTAAACCGCCGTTTAGGAGATCTTCCCCTTCCAGAGACACAGGCACAGCTACTGTAGAACACCAATCCGCCGAACAGGAAACCAAATGAATGCTGTAAACAGCCTAATAGGAAAACCCATACGAATAGGTTTACACTCCTAGCAGTCGAACTGGAACAGCAAACAATAAATCCCCCCAAGAACGAGACAAGGCTCTGTTTTGAGGGTCAAGCAGTGAACAGCCAGAGCTGTGGGTTTATTGTGCTTATGTACACATTTTTACACATTAGTACTACCCACAGGGTTTTGGAACACAACCAATAAACACATACAATACACTCAGACACTCCCACACAAAATCCTCCCCTCTGCCTGTGATACAATTACCTTACACAATGGGTAATGTAATTATAACAAGCAGAGAAATACAATTTTTCCACATTATTCATAACTTGAAAAGTATGCATCACATTTTCAGAATCAGCATACTCCAAATACAAACATACATCAAATTCATACAAATTGGTCCAGTGGTTCAAAAGATAGATCGTAGTCCTTTGTGACCAAAGGAAGCATAGCTTTTCTGCCCAAAACCAGTTCCACAGAGTCTTCTATCCTGGAGATAATTGGGAAGTAATCAATTATCTCCAAAGACAGAGGCAAAACTCCATTGAACACATGTCAATAAAACACATAAAAACATATAACTGTGCAGCCATTGCACAAAACCGATACATTCAACATATCCCCAGATAGCTCAGATCTGAGCGCACATTATTACTGAATGGCGCTCAGAGCACACATATACAGTTCAATTGCCATGGAGCCAAAGTCTTTCCCATAGTCTTTCATTATACGAATGGGCTCCATGGCATAGCTATCTGGGGTATCACCGCTCAAGCAGGGCAAGCACCAAATGACCCGGCTTTCATGTCTTTGCAGGGGAAAATCAAGCCGTTTAACATGGGGCCATATTTCAAAGGCAACAGGCGAGCAACCAGGCTTCTCCAATGCAATGTGGCGAGATTGGTCTCGTCACGTTAATGTACTATTAAGTAAAATTAGGCATTTGGATAAATCAGAATTTAGAAAAAATGAAAAGTGTTAATAAATCTGTGAATGCACTGTTAACAATGTCTTACATCAACATTTTTGGGTGGAGAGGTGTACCTATATTGTTCTTATGCACTTTCGAGATATATGATATTTAAAGGACCACTATAGGCACCCAGACCACTTCAGCTCAGTGAAGTGGTCTGGGTGCCAGGTCCATCTAGGTTTAACCCTGCCTGCTGTAAACATAGCAGTTTCAGAGATACTGCTATGTTTACACTGGGGTTAATCCAGCCTCTAGTGGCTGTCTCATTGACCGTCACTAGAGGCGCTTCCGTGCTTCTCACTGTGATTTTTCACAGTGAGAAGACGCCAGCGTCTATAGGAAAGCATTGAGAATGCGTTCCTATGGACTGACTGAATGCGCGCGTGACTCTTGCCGCATATGCGCATTCAGCCGATGACGTCCAAAGGAGGAGGAGAGTCCCCAGCACCGAGGGAGCCCGGCGCTGGAGAAAGGTAAGCCTTTAACCCCTTCCTCCCCGTAGAGCCCGACGGGAGTGGGACCCTGAGGATTGGGGGACCCAAAGACCATATAGTGCCAGGAAAACAAGTTTGTTTTCCTGGCACTATAGTGGTCCTTTAAAATACTCTACATACCTTTTATTTAATGATTCTATTTTTTATATACAATTTCTACCAGTAACATATTGAACAATGTAAATAGTGTGAACATATATCTACTATTTATTAGATAATAAATAAATAGAAACATTAATTACTTATTTTTATTTCGTTAAAGGTTAGTGCATACGGTTTCATGACGCACGATTACCAAAACTATTCTGATCATTACTACGACAAAGATAAAAAGGAAACTACTCTATACATTAATCATGACTTTCTTTTGGAAAGAAACCTATGGAGGAACCTGCATGGGGAAAATATAATTAAGCTCTACCTAAGGAAATAAGAATCAAATCAATCTTCTGGTGTATTCAGCAGAACACCAACAGTAACTCCTTGGAAGATGGCAAAAGTACTCTTGCTCCAGATCCTGTGTAGTGGACATTGAATTGTGAAGTCATTAACTGTTGAGTACGATATATTAAATAATGGTGGAAGATGTAAGAAAAATTGATAAAATTGTACTCTGTTCTCCAACTTAAAGGGGCATTCCGGTTATCATAACAACTTTATCTCAGTTAAGTTTTTATGTTGCCAGGAGGCCCCCAGGTGCACTCTAACCTTAAAGAGTTTAACCATTCTCAAAAATACCCCGAAAGTTACCTCCAGCGCCGATCTCCAGGTCCCCTAGACGGCATCCTGATACTAAAACTCAGCTACAGGGATAAAAAAAAAAAGGTACTTTTTTTTTTATCCAGGGGCACCATAACAACTTAATTTACATGAAGTTGTTATGGTGAGGGAAGTATCCCTTTAAATGTTATCAGTTGTATATAATCTTTGCAAATCATCTAAAAAACCTGCTCTGCATCAAGACGAGAAACAGCGTTTAAATTATTTGACACTTTGTTACATTTTGATAATTTCTCTAGGGTTTTCTTAAATCTCTATTTGTTTTTGTTTTTTTTCCAATCAAGTTTTACTTATTTTTCACTTAAAAGGTTAATGGCTCCAAACTTGACAGAGGTGTCTTTCTTTATTTCCCTTTCAGTACCCCACCTCCCCATCCTATAAGTAGCATAGCATGGTCTAAGAGTTGCTAGGTGATATTTTGAAAAACAGTATTCTTTTAGCATTCAAAGGAATCTCTCATTCTCTCACACTGCTGAGGACACTGATTAACTAGCCTTCAGTTTAATGCTCCTGCTATTTATTCAGCCTTCTCTATTCTTACGTTCCTTTGCTCTTACAGTAGCATTTTTCCTCTACAATTTTATCTTACTACATCTCACTCACTAAATTAATGTTTTCAGAACAGTTTTCTGCAATACTCATTTCTATAAGAATAAATGAATTTTGTTCTACAATACCAGACACACAAGGTTGGATTTAAAAGCATTTGAATGCATTCTATTACAATATAGAAAATAAATAAATGTACTTATACATATTTAATTTGATTTATATTAAATTAATGGGCAGATTATGTGTTAGAGTCCTGTACTGCACATATGCACAGTTACGGGCTAAACAGGATTTAGTGTGAGTTACACTCCTCAGTGGTACCGGATTCTATTTTAAAGAGACACTATAGTTACCAAAACAACTTTAGCTTAATGAAGTAGTTTTGGTGTACAGGCCGAACCCCTGCATGCTCACTGCTCAATTATATGCCTTTTAAGAGTTAAATCTTTTTGTTTATACACCCTATTCACACTTCCCTGCATGTGACTTTAACAGCCTCCCTAACTAAACACTTCCTCTAAAGTATGATCGAATGTTTACACTTCCTTTATTGAAAATGATGTTTAATTTAGAATATCTTATCTACTGTTCTGTTAATAGTTTGCTAGACACTACAGGAGTCTCCTGTATGTAATTAAAGTTCAATTTACAGAGCAGGAGACAAAAATGTTTACAGTACGTCACATGTGAGAGCTGCATAAGCAGAAATAAATGTGATTTAACTCCTAAATGACAGAGAATTGAGTTAGACTGCAGGGAAATTATCTATATACTAAAACTAATTAACGAAGCTTAAGTTGTTTTGGTGACTATAGTGTCCCTCTAATGACTGCAGTAGAAATTACTCCTGGCTGTAAACACCTGATTACTGGTATACTGGGACATGTATTGCAGTCCTGAAAAATTTTCTGCGAACAATTCTGCACTTGACTTTAACCCCTTAAGGACACATGACGGAAATATTCCGTCATGATTCCCTTTTATTCCAGAAGTTGTGTCCTTAAGAGGTTAAGTACAGCTAACTAAATTATGGACACTTTTCACTTTTGACAAATTAGTGTGCCATGTTGACTTATATTACAGGCAACCATATGTATAAAAAGTGTTGTCTTCTGAAAAGTAGTCTAAAATATTAAATATGGATGGGCGTGGCCTGACTCTTCATGTGAGCGGTTGCATCTCCTGTGAACGCCCTGATAGCGGAATCTAATATAGCCAAAAGAATACCTCAATTTACCCAAATGGACAATAAAAAGAAATCCGTGGCCTTTTCAATCCATTATAGACACTCTCCATATACCTCGGAGAGAACTTTTCACCTATCTCCGTTTGAAACATTTCATTCATAAAAATGTTATTAACTCTTCTTTTCTATTTGCCAAAAAAATAGAAATTATGTTTAGCAATCATTCTATTAAAAAGGTTACATCTGTCGCAGCCTCCATGTTGGAAGGTCTTAAGGAATTCCCTCATAAATTGATAAAAATCTGGGAACAGGAATTGGAATTGGAGATTCATTTGGAAGACTGGAATGCTTCTTTGAGTCATGTAAATAAATACATTCATTGTTTAAATCTGTCTGAATGCCACTTTAAACTTCTTTATAGATGGTATTATACCCCGACTAGATTAGCTAGAATGTATGAATCCTACGACCCTATATGTTGGAGATGTGGTAGTCATCCAGGTACATATATTCACATATGGTGGTCATGCCCTGTGGTCCAAACTCTATGGTTTTGGGCCTTTAATATCTTTATGACGTTGACTGACAATAGAATTCCGGAAAATGCTGTATCTGCTCTTTTGCATCTTAAGCTGAATTTTATACAAAAAGATATTTGTTTTGCTATTCATTGTCTAGTTGCTGTTAAAATTATTATTGCAAGACATTGGAAATCATCAAAGCCGTTTCAGAAAGGGATTCTGATTAACCAAATCATGTTCCAAATCTCAATGGAATACGACTTGATTAAAAGTTTCTCTTTTAAATCGAGGAAAAAAGACTGGTATTATGAATGGTTAGAAAAATATAAGGGTATATATGGTAACACTTCCTCTGACATAGATCCTTCTTATTAAACTAATACTGGACATATTTAAAAACAGTTTATTATTATATAAAATTGTAATGAATAATACTGGAATTATAAGATTGTACTAAAACATGAATGGAAAATGTTAAGAGATATACTAATATGGATACAGTTACATGTTTTATCAATTTTTCTGTTTAGAAATTTCCTTGTTCGGATAAGGGTGATAGGTATTCCTACCGGGTGTTTACTTTTTTTTTTTTTTTTCGTGTTTTGTTTGTATCTGTATGTGGATACTTTGTGGTTATGTTCCATGTTTTAAGGAACCTATACGATATCAAAAAGAAGACATGGAAAAGGAAAGGAAAAGAGTAAATTAGATGATGTATAATGATGAAATATGTTTAATAATATATGTAATTATGTAATTATTTATTTGTCTGCTATATACATTATGAATTTGACTGCATGGTGTAGTATATTTGCTGTATATGAAAAAACTTTCAATAAAAATTAATTATAAAAAAAAAAAAAAGAAATTCGTGGCTCCTCTGGACCCACTGGATCTGGGAGCGAACAAAAAAGCTGGGGATCTAGACAAATTTTTTTTTATAAGGTGAGAGTACTCGCGGTGGATACAGACGACAGTCTGGTGACGCCATCTTTACCACATGACTCTCCACCACAACGTCTGACACCATCAGAACAAACGTCTGCATCCAGAATGTCGGATATAAACGAGATTCTGCACAGCTTACCGTGGAAAGATGACATAACAGCCATGCTGGCCTGGCTTGAGGCCTCCATTCAGGACCAGATATCTTCCCTGGCGATGGAAGTAAGGCAAGTCGGCAACAGATTGGGGGAGCTGGAGGAGGGCAGAGACCAGATTTTAGACAGGCTCCACAGGCTGGAGCAAAAACATGAGGTTCTGGACTGTAAATTAATGTACAACATGAAAAATGTGGAGGAGGTGGACAATAGAGGTTGGAGAAATAATATAAGGATATGGGGCCTACCTGAGGTACGTGATTCCACTGAAGATCTCAATGCCATTTTACAGAAAAAGAGGCAATTATGAAAAGCACATGGGATGCCTCAGGGATTCTGTACAATAATGCCAAGATACAGTTGCTACCAGATCTGTCCTAGAACATTAAGAGGGAGAAGAGCACTAAGGCCGGTAACCCAGGCACTGCAACAAGTGGGAATAAAATATCGATGGAGATTTCCATTTTCCCTCATTGCAACTCATCAAGGTGCACAAATCTCTCTTTCCTCGGCAGCAGACGTCGCAGGTTTCTCCAAACAACTAAGCCGTCCAAATATGGAGGTGATGGACTGGTACGATGTAACAGAGACTATTCGAATGCCAGCGCTACCTCAACGCCCCCAGATGGAAACTGCGTGAAGGACGGAAAAGAGCTATATGAAATCACCACTGAACTCCCCATTCAGTAAATCCAAGCAGCAACCTTCAGAATCACGAAGGGACTAACACGTAAAATCTATTCTTTGAAGGGCTCAAGACACTCATAACCCACAGACTCTTGAGACTGCAATTCCAGCAGGCAGTGTTGATTCCACATTGATCCTCAAGTGAGGTAGACGGGGTGTGAGGAGCCCAACACACATTTAGCTGTCATGTACAGCTAAACACTTATCTGCTATTGGAGGCTTAGCGTGACCAAACAAAACACAAGCTACTAAGCCTTTAGGTGCACAGTTTCACTGGCATAAACAACAGAGAAAAGCTCCAAGTACGAATCATATATCACCCCTCCCCCACCCTCATTTGACCTGGGACTGATTAGGCCCTGAGCGGCACTTTAACTTAATGCACTTGTTTCTTTATTCACTACATCCTGATCCAGTTCGGATAGCTGGATACACACAGGGAGTAGTGCGGACTCCAAAATATTAGACAGGAGACTAAGAAATGAGATAGTAGATGATTATACATCAAAGGAGTCAATGTCTTCTATATTTGTGTTTGCTTTTGAATATTTGTGATTGTTTTTTGATTATTGTTTTTGTTTATCTGTTCTGAATATTATTTTAGTTATGGAAATCTTCTAAGATTAAAATTATAAACTGCTAATACTGTAGTATGCCTGAACGTAGATATACACATCTACTTGTATATAACATAAGGTACCACGTGATTGCAGAGTAGGGTCGCTGTACTGAAATTGAGATGGGCTCACTCAATATTCTTTCATATAATGTATGGGGCCTCAACACACCAGAAAAAGGGTGGCTGGTACTTATTGAATTCACCAGACTAGGGGCTGACATGGTCTTTGTCCAAGAGACATATTTAAGAGGATGCTCCTATCCTCAAGCATCCCAAATTCTCCCACATTTTCTACAACAATTTTACTAAAAGCAAATTGAGGTGTGTGGCCATCCTAATAGGGGCAAAAGTCCCCTTCACATACTCAAAATACATAACAGACGACTCGGGGAGATTTATTACACTCCAAGGGTTGATCAGATTCTCCCCTATCACACTTGTGACAGTTTATCTCCCAAACAAACACCAATGTAGAACCTTTTGGAAAATCATGGCCATTGTACAAAACAATACGGTCGGTTCCCTGTTAATAGGATGGAACTTTAATATTTCACTGGATGCCCTAAACCCAGCGCACTTAGCCACAGCCATACACCAAATGAGACATATACTACACTCCAACAAATTAGTCGACTGTTGGAGAGTATTTTACCCAACGACAAGGGACTACACCTATTTTTTGGTCCCAAATCAGTCCCATTCCCAAATAGACTATTTCCTAACCTCCCACAGAGACCTGTCACTAGTAGCTGACTCATCCATAGGTATCATAACCTGGTCCGATCATTCACCCATATTTCTCACAATACACATACCCTCCAGTCCTAAAGGCCTGTGGAAATTGAATCCAAACCTCCTGAACACAATCAGATTAAGGATTCAATCCACACCACGTTAAGGCATTATTTTAATGAAATTAAAATGAAGGATACATCTCCCTATACCCAATGGGAAGCACATAAGGCGGTAGTCAGGGGGGAACTGATTAAATGGGGATCACATGTCAAAAAGGACAGAGTCAAAAAAATCACCAAACTTCTGGAAGACATAAAACAGACTGAAGAGGCACATAAACACAATGTCTCAGATCCAATATACCACACCCTTATAGCACTGAGGTCCGAACTCCACTCTTACAAGACAAGACTAAAAAAGCCATATTATGGACGAAACAAATATATTACGTTCAGGGGAAAAGGAGTGTCAGGCTGCTAGCACAAACCTTAGAGCAAAAACAAACGTTCACACACATACTGAAAATTAGGAAGGCAGACAATACACTAGCACAGACAACGGAAGACATAGCTGTCTTAGCCGAGGCTTTTGCGACTACCAAACTTCCCTTTACAACTTACAAGCTCCAAGGAGGACCACCCAAAACGGATTAAATAAATACTTACCTAAAAGGACAAATTCAACAAAACTCATCGTTTGCCAGATCCTTGGATGAGCCGTTTACTTTGGACGAACTCAGACACGCCGTTAAATCAGCCCCAAATAATAAATGCCCAGGCCCGGACGGGTTTTTGGCCACGTATTATAAAATCTTTCAAAAAGAGCACTTTTTGGAGGCCATAAATGCTATCTCACCTAGACAACACATCCCTCAGTCCACCCTGGAAGTGACTATAATCTTTATTCCCAAACGGGTAAAGAACTTGGAGAGGTGCTCGAGCTATCGCCCGATGTCTGTCATAAACGTAGATGTCAAGGTCTTCACTAAGATGTTGGCATCTAGATTACGACCTTTCCTCCAAGTTCTAGTCCACCATGATCAGGCCGGATTCATTCCAGTATATGAAGCCAAAGACAACACTTCCAAAATCATAAATCTAATTCACTTAGTTAAACTAAAGAACACTCCAACCTTATTATTGGCAATTGATGCGGAAAAAGCATTTGACAGGGTGGACTGGACCTTTGTCATGGGCATTAGAGGCACTGAGGTTTGGCAATAGATGGCTCTAGTGGATCCAGGCGACATACAGGCAAGTATACAGCTAAATGGAAATGGGCAATTGTCTGGGTCCTTCCAGATTACAAATGTATCGGGAATACAAGGTGTCGATGTTTGCCGATGACCAACTCTTCACCATCGAACACCCTAAGAGCAGCTTTCCACATTTGATGGAGAAAATTCGGAAATACAGTGATGTCTCTAATTTTAAAATCAACATCCTAAACCTGAACCAGTCAAACACACAAGTCGCGGGCCTCAAGCGGATATACCCCTTTCAATGGGCCACACATTCGATAAAATACCTGGGGGTACATATAATCACTTCACCTAAGTCTTTATACTCCTGTAACTTCCCAGGCCTCCTAGCCTCAGTACAGAAAGACATTGAGTCAAGGGACAAACTTCACTTTAGATGGATGGGTCGGATTAACATCATCACCATGAATATCCTCCCACGCCTTTTATATCTCCTAAATACCCTGCCCATAGACATCCCGCACATAAATCCTTCCACACAACACGGTCCTTGCTTACAAAATTCAACCGCGCATAGCCTACCACATACTGACAAGACAGAAGAGGATCTGCTGTGCTGGGGGATAGGATGGCTAGAAGGTTGGAGGAGATTTAAACTAGTATTAGGGTGGGAGGGTCAAAGCAATCTAGAAAATGGAGATAGGATAGGAAGGAGATGGGCTTTAGTTCAAAACAAAGGGGATGGAGATGGGGGGAAGGGGAAAGCTCAGAACAGAGGAGGTATGTAATATTGATGAAAATTCACAAAAAGTACAAATGACTCATGGTAATATTAAACGTATGCTTACTAATGCAAGGAGCCTATATAACAAAATTGGGGAACTAGAGGCAATAGCATACACTAAACAATATGATATAATAGGCATAACAGAAACATGGTGGGATGAGACACATGACTGGACAGTTAACTTAAATGGGTACACTTTATTTAGGAAGGATAGGAAAAACAAGAAGGGTGGTGGGGTATGTTTGTATGTCAGCCATGAGTTAAAGTCAAATCTTAGGCATGTGTGGAAAATGTGGAAGCTTTCTGGGTAGCTATCTGCTTTGGGCAAACAAAGGGAAATAAATTATTGGTTGGGATATGTTATAAACCACCAAATGTAAATATTAATGAGGAAGAACTGCTGTTAGAGCAAATTGGGAAAGCTGCAAATCGGGGTAACACGTTAATTATTGGAGATTTTAATTACCCGGACATAAATTGGGATAGAGGGACTAGTACTTCAGCAAAGGGAATCCGATTTTTGAATGTGTTAAATGACACCTTTATGGCACAACTGGTACAAGCACCAACTAGAAAGGATGCTTGACTGGATCTTGTTAAAACAATGTTAAACAATGTTGATCTTTTGACCAACATTCGGGTAGGGGAGCATTTGGGAAATAGTGATCACAGTAAAAAGCCAATTTCAATAAGATTAGGCAGCTCTACAACATATCGACTGGCATAAACGCCTTAGTAAAAAAAAAAACACTGAGGATAAATGGAAACTATTCAAACAAATATTAGAAAAGTACATTTCTCAAACTCTGTCCTTTCTTGGTTTTCCTCCTATCTCTCCCAACGAGGAGGAGGTATCTGGGTTGGAGTTCCCCAAGGCTCTGTCCTTGGTCCCCTTCTATTTTCTCTTTATAATGCCTCTCTTGGAAAGCTTATTGCCTCTTTTGGATTCAACCACCACCTGTACGCTGATGACACTCAGATATAGCTCTCCTCCCCGGTCCTCTCCCCTGCCGTCCTGCAAAGTGTCACTGCTTGGCTTTCTTCCATCCCTGACTGGATGTCCTCACGCTTTCTGAAACTCTTTCTTTCTAAAACTGAACTCTTTGTCTTTCCTCCTCCTTATACTGATCCTCCTCTCTCGCTCTCCCTTCAAGTCAGTGATATCCACATAAGTCCATCCTTGCAAGCACGCTGTCTTGGCGTCATACTTGACTCTGGCCTCACCTTTGAGACTCACATCCAGTTTGTTGCCAAATCTTGTAGGTTCCAACTCAAAAACATAGCCCGCATCCGCCCCTTTCTTATGCAAGATGCGACCAAAGAGCTTTTCCATGCTCTAGTAATTTCCCGCATGGATTACTGTAACCCTCTCCTGATTGGTCTTCCCAAAAGCCGTATTGCCCCGCTACAGTCTGTAATGAATGCTGCAGCTTGACTGATTTTCCTTTCTAGTCGGTCGTCTCACACATCACCCCTGTGCCAGTCCTTACATTGGCTTTCTGTATCCTATAGGAGTCAATTCAAAGTGCTAACCCATACATTTAAAGCACTGAACAATTCTAGCCCCTCTTATATCTCCTCAATGATCCATAGGTATGCCCTCGTTCCCTCCGCTCTGCCCGTGACCACCACCTGACCGCTGCTCGCACCCATACAGCCAACTCGCGCTTGCAGGACCTCTCACGGGTGGCTCCTTTCCTATGGAATAGCCTGCCTACCGCCATCAGACTCTCCCCTAGTCTTAAATCATTTAAGAAGAGCCTTAAAACCCATCTCTTCAGGAAAGTTTATGGCCTCCCAGAGTAACCTCTACCTTACATACCTGTCTCTTGCTCTCTCTACCCTCTCCTCCAGCTCTGCTTCACTCCCACCCTATTTGATTGATATTTCCTGTCCTAACATGTCTTATACCCCACCTCCTATAGACTGTAAGCTCATTTAAGCAGGGTCCTCTTCAACCTATCGTTCCTGTACGTTTTCTTGTAATTGTCCTATGTATAGTTAAATCCCCTCTCATAATATTGTAAAGCGCTACGGAATCTGTTGGCGCTATATAAATGGCAATAATAATAATAATAAGTACCTCTGGGTAATACATATAAAATAAATAAATTGAAACCAATGTGGCTTAGTAGAGAAGTAAAACAAGAGATTAAAAATAAGAAAAGGGCATTTAAATCGGACAAATCAGAGGCATCCTATATAAGATATA